CTGGAAATACACTTATAGTAATATTAGCAATGGTATTTTCAATGACCAGAGTTCAGCATACTTGACGTTGGCTTCACGTTAACCTCTTTCCCCAGTGCTGTTAAATCTAATTCCAAAGAGCGATAATCACATGTCAAATGCTGAGAGTGTCTGAAATCCAGGCTCAGATCCAGTTTTATGAACTGGCCCCTTATCCCTTATGACACACCACACTCAATCACCAACCCTGTTTTCCCTGCTCCCCAAAATTGCAAAATGTAGATGTACAACTTGAATTAGCCACTAATTTCAGAGCACTTGGAAAAACAAAGACTTTTTTCCTTTTGGCTTTAAGTATATCACAGCACCTGCAAGTATTCTAGGCATCTCCAGGGAACAAGCTAACATGGATCATCTTTGCTTCTCAAAAATTTCTCATCTAAATTTAGACACAATCAGACAAGTAAAGGTCAAACCCACAAAACAGGGAGTGAGACAAGTATGGAGGGAGATTTTGGTGAACAGATAATGCAACTGCTCAGAGGAAAGTAAAGGAGATGGGAAGTCTTCCTTTGGTACTGGAGATGTGGGTGTATGGAATCCACTTCCAGGGCCTGCTTACCTGCAATTCTTCCCATTTGCACTGTGAGCTTTCCAACACTCCACTCTGTCACAGATACCTTTTTCCTTTCTAATTTTCTGATCCTCTGTCTAATGGATATGCACTTACAGCTGTTTACATTTGCTGTTTTGATCTCTGCTTTACACTGGCACCAACTCATTGCTATGTCAGGCACCAACTACCAGCCGGGGCCTGCTTTTCCCCTCACTTTCTCTACTTTTTGACATCCATAGTCTTCCTAATCTCTGTTCATCCTGGCTTGGTGAGAACAAAATATATACAAAGGTTAATCTAAAATGTTAACTTCTAATAAAAACCAGTGAGAGCACTAATATAATCACTTGTAATTTCAGGTGTCACTGGAGGCCTCACCACACTTTCACGTAACTCAGACTGATAATGAAAACTAACAGAAATCACTGGACAGGAATGTCAAGATAAACGAAAGGATCTCTGCCTCTTTTGGATGTACATACTCATTTTTCAAATAAAGTTATCAAGTTGTCTTGAGAGACGTCATCAAATAAGGAAAGCTGTCCTTATCTCAAGTATTATATGAATTTAATTTAAAACAACGTAAACACGCCGTGTTTCACTGCGGAATGGTGAGCAGGTCTGAGAAAACAAAAAGCAGGAAAGTTTCACAGAATTGTGTTTCCATGAACACCATAAAGGCAATATGCATGAGGTGACCTAGAACAGGGGAGAAATATTTTTAAATTGAGGCCTTTCAGAAAACAGCTAAAAAATTTAGTGGTAGTCCTTAGCATGTTGCTAAGGTATACATGACCCTACTGACAGCAAAAATGGAAAATCTGCTTGCATGACAAAAATCTGTGTGCAGTAGTCTTTGAACTAAAACACATTCAGTACCATAGGAAATAGCTACAGGTTTGTTTTTTGTTCTTAGGCTGAGAAACCTGTCACTGTGTGGTCAGCTGTGTGGTTTTAACAACTGAAATAATAATTGATAAAAATGAGTTTAGCTGAAAAATTATTTTCTCTCCTGAAATTTGTGTCACTAAAGAGACAAAGCCTCAGAAGCCGATAAATGCAGGGAGCACACAAAACTTAGATACTTCAGGGTTAAAAACAGATGCCATAGCAACAGCATGATACTTTCTGAGGTTGTCACAAGACCTATAGCCTGTCCTGACACTGCTAACATACATCATACACAGAGTGGTCAACGACACGATTCTACATACCAAAACCAACTCCTCAATTTATTCCTGGCTCTGGTTCATTATCACTCGATGGGATATTTTCCAGGTTTTTAGGCATTGCTGCATACTCATACCAGAAAAAAAGACTTACTGCAAGCTTTTCTTTTAGTCAAGAGCCTGAAGTGGAAGAAACCAAGTTAATTTTGACTTAAATTTTGACTGGTTTTTAGTCAGAAAACAGTTCTAAAGATGAAGAAAACTAGTTGTTATGAGCAAAGTAAAAAAAGTAGAAGAGATACTTGAACTTCGTTTCATTTCACTTTAAAGAAAATACAGGAATTGCACAAATTCAGAAGGCACTGAAAATGAAAGTTCTTCAAAAGTTTCAAAAAAATATAATAAAGAAAAATACCTTAGAGGCATCTCAGAGAAACAGGCTGCCCAACTTCACCAAAGTTCAATGGTAATTCCAGCACTAACTCTCCAGTGTTTTTTTCAAAGTTCCAATTCTAAATCATTTGCCTGGATGAAATGCTACAAAGATACTATACAATATAAGCATTTTTGATTAGTTAGTGTAAGCAATTGCTTCAACTACTCCATCAAAATATTTAACGTGAGGGACAATGTGAGCACAGAAAAAATAAAAGTCAGTTTTAACTATTGTGATGGCACAAAACCAATGCAACATATGCAAAACCTGTGCATGCAAGTATTTAAACTTGAGAGTGATTTTACCTGTACTGTAACTTATACTGAGCTTCATTCATAACTATACACAACTTTATAAAGTTATCATTTTGAACTAAATTCAAAGCAGTCTCATCTGTCCATCATTAAACAGGGATGTTGTACCTAGTATAAAACTTGGACAATTAATTGAGATTTTTAACACAAATGGACACTACCAAGTTTTTGAGGTCCTGTTTGGTGACAGGCTTGAAATACAAGAATCCTCATTGAATTGAACAGTGAGAGAAATTCATTAAACAACAAGGTATCCATTGATATTTGGTCAATATACTCTGATAAATAATCATCAATAAATAAATCTTCAAGTAAATCAAGTAAATCAAGACCATGCCTCAGGTTCTTCTAGGTGATTAAGAGGGTAAGGAAGGAGTACTACTTAATACCTGAAACAACTGCTACCTTTGTATCTCCTTTCAGCATAGTATTGTGCTCCTTTTAGCCTAACTATTTCCATCTTCTACCATTGCCTATTTTAGAGATAAAAATAAAGGCTCTCCATGAGTCCCCTAGAAGATACTTAAAAAAACCATGCCAAAATCAAGCAACATTTCTGACATCTAACCAAAATTTGAAGAGAAAGCAAGAATATTGAACTATATGCTGCAACCTTCAACTGGACAAAACGCCATTTCCCACTGATGGTGACAACAAGCAATATCTGAGAGAACCAGAGATCAGATTAGAGCTGATTAGACCACCACAAATAAAGATAAGTAAGAGAGCATTTTGGCTAGATATGACTAACAATCTGGAATTATAATTCAGCTGCCACTAGTACATACATCTCCTGGTTTGCAGGGTCTGCATAGAGATTAAGGTATAAACCAAAAAAATATGTTGGAGGGTCTGCCTTTAAAACGGCTTTTACCTTTTGTTCCAAGATGGGGTTTTGGGAACTTTCTAAGAAGCAACATATGGAGTCTACGTAAGAAATCAAGTATCTCAGTTTAAGACAGACTGTTTTTCTTCTCAGGAGTGATTCAGATGAGCACTACGACAATCTCAAGTCATTAAGAGCCGTGTTATTTCACATGTGTTTGCTAAACTGGAAAGAACATCAGTGTTAGTCCCTTTGGCTCCCAAAGGCAGCTTTTGGATGGAGGAGAAGCTTCCATAACTGTCAGTAGTAAGAAGAGGAGTTATTTAATTATTGTAATATGATTGTGTATAAAGATGGTAGCTTTCACTGATTACATTTAATTAATTTGAAGATTTCGTATTATGGAAAAAGAAACATAAAACCAATTCTCATCAGCAGCATTTGTATTAGTAATCCACTCCTTTGAGAGGCTGGTTGGACTAGTAAATGAAGAGAGGAAACAATGCAGCATCTTCATTTGACAGTCAATTAAGAAAAAGTTGTATGTGAAAAAACTCAAAGACGAAAATTTCCCAAATGAGAGTGTGGATGCTGACACTGCCCTTGGCTTGCCCAGTAGGCACAATCTGGGAAGCAACTGATCAAGTGCAGACAATACCCCAGAAAGTAGGGGTGACAGTGATACTCAGCATGAACTTTAGCATAACTGGGGAATGGATAGATTAATTTCAGTTTTCTGACTCCCCAAAGCAACCACAGGATAATCATGAACAGACAAAATATTTGGATGATCACAAATATGAAAAATGAGAAATGCGGTGCAGCCACTTACACATACTCCAAGAATATCACAGGATGAAAAGGCAAAATGACAGTATTTGGACAAGATCGCCACATTTTTGTTATGTCTGAAATTCACAAAATATCAGATACAAATAACGTGTGTGGGATGTGATACAAAATTCTGAACATTTGTTCTTGGGTCTGTTAGCTGTTTGTGTATCATTACATAACCACTGACCCACACTTGTGGCATGCTAAGTATTTTATTTTTTAGTGTACTAATTCTAAGGTTCCATGAAAAGTAAGAATTTTTATAGAAAACACTTGTTTTTTAGATAGGAAAAAGAAATCACTAACACAATATCCCAGTAACAACTCTTCAAAGCTTAAACTCAGTTCATTCCATTGCCTACTATGTGGATGTTTTATTACTGAGCACAGAAGGGCAAACAATCTTCTCTTACGTAAGGCCTATTGTAATTCTCTTTCCTATAGCAGGAATGTTACGACACACAGCACAAGAATAGTGATATGACACACCAGAGGAAGCACGTTTGCCTCATCCCCAACTCCTGGATGGGTTCCTTTTTCTGGAAAATTTTTCACAGAATATGAAGATGAATCCCTTTGTACACAGAATTTTTCCCAAAGAAATTCTCAGTTTCTAATGCTCTACTGCTGTTGCCACAACTTAAACACACAGGGAAACTTTGCAGCTCACGCTATGAAAACTTCCCCACATTTTTTCTTAAGTCTTTGTTTGAATCTTCATTTTGCAAAGAAGAGACCCTCGGGGACACTGCAAACCTTGCGTCTTCACACCGAGAGCCTATTTCTACTATTCCCTCGCGTATTCCTCATACAAACACCACAAATATAATTTATCTCATTTCAGCTTTTATTTGGATATTTTTAAGTTAAGTTGCTCAAGTCCATTTTCCATCAATACAGACACTAAAAATTGAGATCAACATTTAAGGCAACATTAGCATCCATGCCAAGCTCAATATGCAAACCGTATCATCTAAGCACCACAGCATCCCAGAATTGTCACAGGTCCCCTACCTCCGTCACACGTTCCCTTTCCGTTTTACCTCTGCTACCCCACACTGCACTCAGTTACTCAATTTAGATGCACATTCTCAAGCAAGACCTTGCCATTTTTTTAGATTTTATTTCTTACGAACTAGATCATTGTTGCATAAAGTGATATGAGTGAGAGACGTTTCAGGGTGAAAGTATGCAGTTGACTTATGTTGCAACACAACAGAGAATCTTCTTTTAAAAATCTATTTAACGTCATTTTTCAATGACTTAGTACAAACACTATATGTATTTTTTAGCCTTTTAGTAAAGGCTATACACTGAGACTTGTTAGAATGATAATTTTGCTTTAAATTCTGATTTCTTTAGTGTTACTGTTGACAAGTGTTTGAGTTAAGGATGCTCAAGTGCAACTTTGATGTAAGAATATTTACAAGTATACAAAAGACCACACAGTTTTTAATACACCCACTATTCTCAATACAGAGTAAATAAGGATTTGTCTTGTGCCCATGGAATATTTCAACACGTGGGTTTTGCTTTTTTCTCTTTTACAGTAAAAGGAAAGGTTTTACTCTTCCTTAAGAAGTGTATTTATTACAAGATGGTTAGCATACATATATCACATAACATACAAGAGATAAAATTAACTAGTTACAAAATAAGCAGTGGTATGTATATTTTCATATAACCTAAGAACACGATCAGTATTTTACAAAGTACATATAAAAGTACTTCATATACAAAGAAAAATACAAATGTGCAAACACCATTGTCACAGGTGGAAATTTGTCAATTGAAAAATGCTAGAAAAATCCTTCATATTTTTGTTTTGAAATTGCAAAGGCATTAAAAACAGCTGCATTTCCTATTGTGTGTGGTGAGAAATCTAGGTTCCTTTCTGACAAAATACATTAGTTATAAAAAAACCCACAAAATTTAATAACTGAAAAATCTTGTAAGTATAGTCAGTTTGGTTAGGCTGACATTAAATTACAAGCAGAACGTCTGGAAAAATGAGAAAATAGTGAATCATATATACAGACCTTTTGTAATATTAGTGTGCTATTTAACATATTAACATTTCAAAGTAAAAACAATGGCTTTATTACCTACATATTCTACTCAATGTTCTCACTATTTGTAGACTGTAAAATTTCTACTAATTTGGGGCTATTAAAAATGTTTTGCCAGGATTTTAAGCAGAACAAACACAATTTCATCAAAAGTAAAAATCTATAAACAGTCTTCCAATTAATGTGCAAAAAAATGTTTAAAAAGTATCAAATCACAACACATCAAACTGGATTATGTACATATTTAATATCTGTAAATGTTGTTAACTAGCTAGTATTGTTCTGCTACAAATAACTTACCTCTGTCCTGCAAAATGTCTGCATTTTAAAGATTTCAGTGCAAGTGCTTGCTTCATTGTTTAGTGCATTATCATGTTCGTTATTTTTTATTTTACAGTGAGCAGAACAGCATATAAATTAACATATACAACTCACACATAAGAGATCTTTCTTCTACTGAATTCCTAGTTTGTTGTTTTCCATTTCTCCTGGATAGTGTCGGCCAGTTTTCTTTCATTTATCCCATTGTAATTGCAAACAGGATCCAAAATAAAAGTGCTATGGTCTTCAGATAATCCCTAGAATTTGAAATTCCATAACGACATTGCAGAAGCACTCAGCAGAGCACAAAATTAGAGAATGACCTGCACACTGAGAAGACACTTGAAAGTCACTTTTTGGTCTTTAAAAAATATCAACTTCTATAAACATTGGCAACTTGATATGTATGTCACTGGACTCACAAGCTTTATTTATTTATTTGTTTTGAGGAATTGCAGACATGTTCCCTCTTACTCGCGACTAGCTTGGAAATAAGAACATTCTGCTTAAAAATCTAAATAAAGTAAAAATACACTTCTTGGAGGGAAAATTTCTACAAATTCCTTTAGACAGGTTTCCTAATAGAATAGTTCTGAAATGAGAAAACGGGGATTAGATGATAGTGCAAGTACAGCCCATTTTTATAGCTAGGAATTGTACTGAAGAAAGAGGAAATCCAGGATAAATGGATTATTATTTTTCCAAGTCCTCCCTGCAGAAAAAAAAATAGCAGTTACAGTGGTTATAATCATTAAACAGAAAAGGAACTTTAACATATTTTGAAATTTAATGGCTGAAATGTAAGGAAGGCGGGTTGTCTGTCAGTAACATTCCAGAACTTAGCTTCTTCCAGGAAGAGGTGCTTTAAACGTGACTTTATCATGGAATGCTTTTCCTTTCTAAGCATCTGAAATGCAACTCTGGATCCTATCCATCCATTGTTGAGCACTCTGTGCATCTTGGGCACAAAAATTATACACACGTTTATTTGTCTTCAACTGCAAAGGAAAAACAAGAACACAAAGACAGACAAGTCAACACAGAAAAGGAAACTGGCAAACTCTGAACTGTAATAATCAATGTGCTAATTGGGTGTGAATGTCACATTTTTGAACTGTTGCTGTTGAGAGTGATGCTAGCTAGGTAAAACCTTGTCTTGAGATGGTATGACAGCTCCTTCCCAGCTCACACCTTTCAAAAGGGCTGAAAGTAGTAGGTTAAACACACCAAAGGAAGAAAGTTTCACATAAAGATCAAGTAAAGACCAGAGGTACTTACATCAAAAAATGCTTTTTCACTTGCATGTTTCGGGGCTCCAATTGTTGGAGAAGCAGGAATCACAGTTTCTACTTCTGCAAGGTCTATGTGTCCCTTACAGCTTGTATCCTCACCAGAGTCATAGTATCGCAGCTGGAACACAAGAGATAAAGAAATCCAAATGTGTTATTTAGATGGACCTTTCACTTTTCTTCCCTTTTCCTGGCTATAGCCTGGGGCATGGAGTGGTAAGGGTGGAAGCCACAAACACTATTAGGACCTGAGCAGATGGGGGTAAAAGTATTTTGTCACCAGGGTTTCATGGCAGACAAGCAAAAGTCATGGATTGCTTTTGGGCACAGGACATGTGAAGCATGAAAGTAGAACCTGGTCTGTAGGATTCAGCATTCCTTCTTAGTTTTTGTAACAGAACCAGCTCTTCACTGTTCATTACATTCAAACTAACTCAATAGCTTTACTTCACCAAGGCATTAACAGAACACTTTCCCTCTGTATTTCAAGAATTTAAAATGATCAGCAAAAATTCAAGTGTAATTTTATGTAATTATAAACTACATAGAAAACTCACATTTTCCTACACTGCACATAGTGATTGAACGAAGTCTGCTTTTTCTTTTTTTTCCTTGCAAAGATACTTTGATATGAATATTATTCACTCTGTAAACTGAGTTTCAACATGCAAACCAGTTCCAAAAAATCCCCAAACCAAAAACCTGACAAAACCCCAATAAATTCCCAAAAACCAATGCAAAACAGTAACACAAATCTTCACAGCAAAGGTCAAACAACAGAATTCCAACTAAGATTGACCTGTATTACTCGTACGTTTATGATACTCAGAAGGATATTTGGTCATAAAAAAAATGAAAGTATTTTTTTCTCCTGCAAAATGAACCTTCTCTCCTGTGTATCAGGAGGAATAATTACAATCAGCACTTTTTGCTGATATTTTACCACACTAATCTAAAAATTCTCAATCAGCATTTCAAAAGATGACTGTCTTTATCTATATTACATATTTTTAAGTGTATTGACTACAATAAATTAATATTTTTAAACAAAAGCATGACATGAGTCTCAAAGGTTACAACCCCTATTGTGTGGAATATTTGGCTCAGTGAAGATTACTGCCTCATGACCCACCATTATTTGAAGCACCCAAGGCCAAAAATTTCTACTGCAGAATTCTGGCATACATTGTAAATTGGATAAAAAGCTTAGACCAACAGATCTTTTCTGGTTTTGGTGCTCTTTGCTGTAACAATGATTAGGTGCAATATATATGAATAATTTTGCTACTACATTTATGTGACTATGACTAATCTAAAGTACTCCTACGTATGGCACCTGAAATGATTGTGCAATCAGGAACTTGGCATTTCAGGATTTTTAGAAATAAAGATTTGAGATGAAATTTTAACCCATTTTAAGCAATTCACAAAATGCAAACTCATTTCAGAGATATCTGTGTTCCTGCTCTCCACACTAGACATTCACACGGAGATTCCAGGTCAGGTTTCTCAAATACAGGCTACAGAGAGCCACTAAAAAGTCAAGTGAGGTAAATGGATTTTTCTGCTAAAGTAATTCAGATTATGGTTTTCCAGAGCAGATAATGCCCTTTTATTTGCAAAGAAAAATGCTCATGTTAAAGTGCTTGAGGAGCAAAGAGGCTATAAAATACACACTGAGCGTACAATAACTACTGCAGATTCAACATAAATGCCTGAATTAAACTTGCTCAGTTATGATATTAGCTCTCAGCAGCCCAACTGCACTCCAGGAGATACCTTCTAAGTTTTTCCCTCTAGTTCAAATAAAGAGTTTTCAGTTCTTCTGGAAAATAAAGAGGTCATGTTAAAGGGCAAACTATGTTCACCACTTAATTGCTTAATTATATTCTAGAGTTAGCAGTGCTTAAAAAAATTGCTTGTAGTGCTTGTATACCACAAATCCCAGAAAATGTCCTCAGGCACTGCATGGCTTTTTTTCCCCTTAGCTGTGAAGTAGGCAAAAAATGTTTGGGCCTAAACAAAAATGCATGACTTCCAGTCCAAAAAGTCTTTTAATGATTATATGCTAAATAGTTATCACTCTTTCAAAAAAAGCAAAATATTAAACCCCCTCTGTCCATGTAGAGTGCTGTATCAGCTACAAGATACTCAAACATAGATAGGTCTAGAATGATGTAACACAAATCACATCTGAAAATAATCATTATTAGTATTGTTTGTAAAATCAATCCATACAAACCCAGTAAATAAAAAAGGAGCAAACTAATAATAAAAGAAGTCCATTATCTGAACAGGTTTTTACCTGGTGTTTTGTCACATCCAGCACAAACCAGCGAGGTTTCCAACCTTTTAGCAAAGCCCCTCTTTTGTACAGCGTACCTTCAAAAGACCTGAAAGGTACAGAAAATAAGAGTGATTCCATAATATGAATATGCTGATATACAAAGGCCCCAAAGTGGCTACATACATATTCCAACACCTCTTTTACTGCAGCAAAACTAATCAGTTTTAAACCTGTAGTTTAGCTATTGGTAACTGTGATAAATACTGCTTCAGTACTTTGCATGCATTAAATGTACAGCTATTTGCTTGTGCACTTAATAAAAGGGAAGATGGAAAGATGATGCTAAAAGATAGAAGCCCACCAATCAAGACAACTAATGTAATCAAAACCACAAAGAAGGAATAAGGTAGTCACAAAGCACTCTATGCCTATAAAAATTTAATTTTTTCCTAAGGCGGAGATTTTACCAATCTAATAAAATATTCATAATTATTCTATGATTATTTGGTTCACCTATTTTCATCATTCTTTGATGTGAAATGATTGTACAGCGTTGTTGTTCTTCTGTCTACTCCATTAGAGGGAGAGATGCTTGCACTCTGCTCCTCACCCAGCCCACTGTCAGGTATTTCCAACAAAGATCTCTTTTGATAGGAATGTAGATTAGCTGACATCATCCCTGAGGAGCCAGAAGGATGTTTCCGGAGCTAAAACAGATGAAAATAAAAGAAAAAAAGTAATGCAGTGTGTCTTGCATTGAGAGACTGTCTCAACATTATACTGACAATACGTGGTGCAACATGTAAGTTGTGAATTATCATGAGGCCAAAAACAAAAAATCTTAATACAAGTCAGTGCTGCCTCAGAGAAGAAGCCAGAGGGATGGCAATTCCATGCTTTTCTTAAGCAGAAGGGTTCACAAGGTGTGAGAAATTAGTCTTTCAGAAAAGCCTCATGTATTCTGGTGATGGAACGTTGAACAATATTTCCCTTGCTTTCTCAGAAGCACCTAGAACTAATCAGATATTTGGATACAATAAATTTACCTAATTTCATGGCGAAGGAAGGGAGGGAAGAAAAAGACTGCAGTTTCCAAGGGCTGCTTTATAGATTCATACCATTTTACTAGAATCTCAGTAACCTGGCAAAAGAGGGACCCTGAATTTGGTCTTAATCTAAATGACAGCATTCTAGAGATAGAGTTCTTTGGAGTTCAGCCTTAGCTGCTGTATGTATCTGAGCATCCGTAAATAACAGCTAGGACAGGAGACTGACATCAGATATATTTATACTTGCATTTTATTTTCTGCTTCCAACTCTGCTTTGCTAGGATGAAACTTTTTTCATCTTGAATTTGTCCAGGATATGAAGTGAATGTGAATGACTGACAGACATAAAGCATATTGCTTTCCTGACAGCAAAGGACAGATAACAAAGCAGTGCTGTGGACTAACCACTGCACGGAGTGGGGTAAATCTGAAAAAGGACAGGAAGCTGAAGAGTTGGGGTACAGTCTTGAGCTGGTAATTACTGTGACAAATTCATAGGGAAAGCTCATAAAAAAAAAAAATCTAACATTACTCCTAGTGCACACAGATAGCAAAGAGGTAGCCTTTGACTTAGGAAATATCTATATTGTCAGCTATTCTTTTTACCACAGCCAAGAACTGGAAACACAAGCATGAACACTTCCTACCTTTATTTAGAAACTGATAATTCCATTTACTCATGGGAATATCTTTACTTATCTCTGAAACTCTGTGATGTCCTTTTGGCTACTTTCAGTAAATGAGCTTTTTCTGTACTTAAAAAATCTTTTAAATAGATAAAATCATATATTTGTGTATTAGTAAAATACTCATGCTCGTTTTCCATATGCCTTCATCTACTCTGGAAAAGCAATTAGATAAATAGCACAAGTATAAATATATTTTTCTACACGAAGAAATACAAAGCCATTATCATGGGTTAGAACAACATATTCAATTTTTCAAAAGCAGTATTTTACTCCAAGAAAGACAGCGATTTTGTCAGTGCCCCAGGTAGCCTATACAGCAGGAACGGAATTATTCCACTGGACGAGCTCTTTTACTACTTACATTGTCTTGTCTGGTGTCATCATTCAGATTCATTTTGACCCTTTCCCACAAGAGCTGCCACCTTTCTGGGCTCTGATTTAATTTACTTTCCAACCTTTCGATTTCCTGAAACAAACAACAAGGGTTTTCTTAAGGATAAACATTTCTAACTGATCACTTCCTGGCAATCATTTTTATACAACCATCTTTATACAACCATCTCCTAGCCAATGTTTTTACACAGTGACCCTTCAGGCCATGTTGTCCAATAAAGCTCAAAAACCTCTGTCAAATGAGCTATAAAATGAAATCCACCGGACTCAGGAGTCAAAGGCAACCAAGTACAGCATCAGCCACATCGTTCTTCCTGGATATCCCAGGTTGGGGGAGCCACTATGCTTTCAGTTCTCCACTAGTTCTCCTGAACACACAAAATTAAACACCAGTTGTCCCAACAGAAACACAACAATGATAAGGACAGGCTGTATTTTATGAAAATATTTACAAAGAACAAATTCTGCGCCCTGACGCCAACACTGCACATTGCCAATGTTAACATTTACCCTGGTTTATAAAATGTGATACAAAGCTGTAATAAAAGAAGGAAATGAAACAGAAAGATTTATTCAATTTGGATGCCAAACTGTAACAACATGTTCTTGTTGTGGGCCTTGGGAATATGACCTATGTTGATAACCTCTAGTTAGGGTTATTTCCTGCTAATGAGATAGCGCAAAGTTAAGTAAAAAGAGGCAATTTTATTAGTTTATGTTTACTTGTGAACACTCATTGATACATTTGTCATGACTTTGATGTGTGGTCCATATTCTTTGCCATGCTTCCTTTCTGCATTTTTACTTTCAACAACTGTATTGTTATGAAAATCTGATTATTAATAAAATAAAATTAAAAATTCAATTTTGCAAATTCAATTAAGAATTGATAATGGAATGAAAAATTGCCATAGGGCAGAGACTTCCCATACTATACAGAAGTCAACTAAACCCCAAGACATTTATTTTCAAAGTAGAGAAAGTAAGTCTTTACTCATTAGGTAGTAAGTCTCTACCTAATAATTAAAGTAGATTTCATAATATTCTCCAAGTCCTATTGTCTTTTTGATCAAAAAATTCTTTAGGAAATTGCTATTGATTGAAAGACAGAAAATTATTATATTTTTAAAGTAAGAAAACATTTTGACCATGAAATTAACTTCCAAACTAGATTTTGAACTCATAAGTGAAAATAAAAAAGCCAAACTCTTCCTTGCTGAAGGTAAATTAGAAAACTCTGAAGTGAAATTAAATATAAGAAATGTGGTTTAACAGCAAGAATCAAACCAGAAGTTTTAAATTCTGGTAGTTAAAAGCCACACAAGCCACAAAGGCTCTCTTCCTGTTAAAAAATAAAACCAGAATAGTTTTGTTTGGAGTATCTTCACAGGTAGATACAAAAATAAGGAATGATGAACAGAAGCCAGACTAAAGCTTTTTCTAGATTACTTGTTTCTCTTTCAAAGTGCTGAATGTAAAATGGTTCTGGATGGGAGACATAAAACAGAATCAATTTACCACAGACTTCTTATGTTCAAAGGCTTCCCAAATTGCTGCAAAAGGATACAAGCTCTTTATTGCTAAAAGTTAGTCAGGTTTTAATCTGATCATTCTCCTTCTGCCCTAGTCTTGACTTCTGAGCAGGAGTCTTTCTCTGCAGAATCTGGAAGTAACTGAAACTTGTTACTTAGCAACTGGGTCACATTCCATCTTTTTTGGCTCCACAGTGAGTAGTGCTTCCAGAACTTAAAATGAAAAACTTTCAACAATCTCCTATATATAACTTGAAAAGTTAGGAATAAATTCTCCTTCAATAAACCCCATGTAAAAAAACACACATGTCAATAAATCACTAAGATCTACTCTTGCCCTTTCAGTTTTAAATTTTACTGAAAAAGCTAGATTTTTTTTCTTCCATGTGTGGAATGGACTATGAATAGATGCATTTCCTTAAAAGAAAAAAAAATCCTTAAATTTATCTCCCTGGTTCCTCTTCTGTTGCAGGTTTACAGAAGCATAAAGAAAGGTTACAACAAATACAATTGTAATAGCAACTACAAGCAATTAGCATTACTGTGCCTTTCAAGAGATCTGCTAAGTAACCTCTTTGTAATATTTGAATGGTAGAGACAGCAGCTGACTCTGCAGAAGCTCCAGAACTATGGAGAGTGATCACCTTCTTTGTATCCACAGCGTGTTTGTGCACACACAAATCAATCTGGACAAAGTCCTACACAGTGAACTGTCCTGAGTGCGACAGAGAATTGTATTTTGGAAGTCCTTCCTTGTCAGTATTGTCTCTTCAACTCCTGGGCTAAAAGGCTTCTGAGACCACAAATAGGGAGATGTTGAATGTGTATCTCGTGATCCAGATGCTGCCTCTGTCAAGTGTTCGGACTTGTGAGTGCAACAAGTTGCACATGGCCAGTTGTTCAATATTTGGAATAAACTTTTTGGTTCATGGTCTTGTAGGACATATCAGCTTTTTTGGCACATAACTGGAAGTCATAAAACAGCGCACAATCAGAAGTGCCATTTTTATTGTTCTGCTGGTTATTCATTGACCCCTTATGCAGCTTTATTTCTTTAGTGTATATTTGCAGCACAGCTAATTTCAGGACTGGCACCCTGAAGTGGCATCTCTGCCAGCCCTGCTCGAAGCAATCACCATTTAATGTTCAGTGATGTAACTGATACACAGGTTCATCTCTCATAATTCTTAAAACTACTGGAATCTGATCCACTCTTAACAGAAGAGCATCACCTTGCACCATGAAAATTCTGAATTAAGCACTCAATAACTTCTCTGTTTCAGCTTTACATCCTGAAGAGCACTGTCTAGTTTTTGATTGAAAAACATCTTTAGAACAAACAAATTTGGGCTTATCATTATAAACTAAGAGAGAATCAATCTTCCCCAGCAATTTACGATGCTAAATATGGTCTGAGTTCAAACATTTTTTGGATACCAACACATTCTCAGTGGATTTATGATTAAAGAGAGGTCTTTCTCTCGCATCAGCAATAGCACTAAATTAACAACTTGTTTTAAAAGAAAGTTCTCTTTGCTTTTTAAACTTATAAGAATATTTTTGTAACCTTTATACGACCTCTTCAGAGTTTTCCAAATGTTCTTTCCATCGCTATCTTTTATTACTATAATCTAATTCACAAATAACATTTAAACTCTATAAAACCTGACCCACATATCTTTAGAATATAATATGGCTAATTTCCCTGTTATATAGCAGTTTCTCACAGTTGTGTGTATGGATAGTTTGGCATCTACCCCAGGAAGAAATGCAGAAGAACATTGTTGCTGTATTCCTGATGTACTTGTGGCCTCCAGTTACCTGATAGGAAAGTTCTCTGTACTATGCTGAACAATCCCTGACATGACCCCTGCTGAAAGACTGTTCTTTCTTTGTATTTGTGAAGTTACAAGTGCTAAGAAGTCAAAGGGAGTTTTACAAGAGATTATTTTTTTTTTAATTGGGCATTGTGCCTGTGTTTGATCGATTAGGATTGGAAGGAATAGACCAAAGGAAATTTGAGGAATGTGCCAGAATAAAGCTAACTTTCTTTTAAAAGCAAGTCTATCCTCAAGGACTCACATCCATTCAGAAACCTCCTGCATTAAGACTTTGCTAAAAATCATCGATTCAGGGGAATTCGGGGTCCAACAGCATATCCCAATTTTCCAAGCATTGCAATATCAGGCTCCTTAAACCCAGGTTTAATACAAGGTAAAGTCTTCAAAGAGTTTTCAGAATAAAAAGCTGCATGCTGATGTGTATCTGGACATATATGTGGCTTGAAACAATGGCTCCAGGAAGTGAATAATCCCCTTGTCATTTTCCTGCACCATCAATTAAGATGATAACCAAATGTTAGGACTGTTAATTAATTATAATCAAGGAACAAACCTTTAAGAGAAGACAGATGTTAAATCACTCTAAATAACTACATCAACTATCATGATAGTGGGATCATTTTTCATCTGCTGATGAAGAAAGGACAAAACCTAAGCAGCCTAAATGAGCCCAAACAAAAAAAAGACAAAATCAAGCATCTATTTCAAGAACCAAAATATTTTGAAGAATCTAAATTTACCAGTTTGGTTCTAGTAAACATGAATAAAATAAGAACAATCATGGAAATATTTTCTGAGAAATTTGGGCCAAGTTGTTCAGTTTATATTTGTGTATCTGCCTCCCACTTGCTTAAAAATCAACAAGTGTCAGATTCCATTCTGATCGGTCTGGAAATCCGTGTCTCTGTTATTTTACCACACACCTAGAGAGGTCAAGAAAGCAAGATTCAACATTTGCCCAAAAGAAAATAACAGTTTCTTACAGAAGGCAATCTAAAATTTTATTTTTTAAAACAGACAGGGAAAAAATGAATCCATGACTAGTTAGTAACTACAACTGAAGCATACTCCCAGAAAAGTGTTCATTCAGAACAGCATAAACTTCGCAGGAAGTCTCATTAATTCCCAGAAAAACCATAATTTCTCAAGCTCAACCAGTCAGTTTTACTACACACCTGTTTTGACATCATGATCCTTTTAATACAGCATATCTATAAGGTAACAACTTAAATAAAAAGTAAAATTCATGAACATAAGAGAACTTACTGTTCTGTATAACAAATGTACTTACATTTAAAAGGCTGGTGATGGCATCAGGTTGTATTTTTTTAACATCATCATAACATGGCCATACTATTTTCCTCTTAGTCTGAGAGAGTGAACCATCTGTTTGGTCCGTTTCCTCTGAAACACTGCACTTTGCAGGTACCATGGTCCAATCATAAGAAGGACCCGTAGCCAAAATCTCTTCTACATAATAATCCCACTTTTTGAGGCTGGACATATTTACATTTGGTTTCAGTGCCTATTTGAAACAAAGGGTTATTATAATGACAGAAAGGAAGCCTTTGAATTTCAGACTTAGAATATCATAAATGCATTTTTTAGATTATTCTAAATTGGACAGTATATTGCACTGGGTGAGTAGTGCTGCAGTTTGCTAATCTGCTAATTGGCTAATTGGCTCAGTCACATCAAAACCTAAAATTAATAGGTTTGGGAATATGCCCAAGCTTTGGGAATATACCACTCTATTTTATCCTTTATTAAACCAGGTGCCTTCCAAGAACTCTAATTCAGCACATGTAGTTAGCACCCTCACAGTCTCTGTGCCTCCTGTTAAAGACATAACAGGAGCCCAATAGCAATCACCCTTCAGTTTTTCTCAGCAGAAAATCCAAGACTCTCTACCATCAGAGAAAGGAGATAGGCTGTGTAATGGAGGTGGATGTGCCACTTGGAAAAAACACAGTATATAAAGTAGGCAGCCAGAGACTTAGGGTCTTTCAGAGCAGTTTAAAACAGATTGTTGTATTAAAAACGTGGGGTTTTCTTTTCTGTCAAAAAATAGGGTAAGAATTTCAGTTTGCATGCACCTTACTTAAAAGGAATGACTGATTCAGGTGAATGGGCAATTTTGAAGTCTGAAGATTGATGCTCAGTCATAATGACTGATTCTGTTATTAGGACTAATTCTGCAACTATGACACCATTTCATATGAGTAAAAATGTTTTCTTCATTAAAAAGAGAAAGAAAATACTACCAAAGTACTGAAAGCTACTCCTGACTGCTTACAGCAAAATGGATAGAGCACACAGTGAACAAGCACTCACCAAGCTTCAAACTCATCAGTGATGGTCCTACAGAGAAAACGGATGTTTCTCTAAAACAGAGAGAACTGAAACACTTTCTGTCCACTCTATCTACTGATTGACATCATCCTGTTTTCTCCCTGTTCCCTCTTGCACCACCACGTTATTAGGTGAGTATAAATGTCATGTGTGGGCTGAAAGCGGCTGCACTGTTGACTGCAATTATGATCTGATGCAGATTCAAGACACCTTAAGGAAAATAATCTTATTTTTTCTTCTTTTTAAATAAGTTTGGTCTATATAGCAGATTTGAGTGCAAAGTATGTTAAGATAAAATGTGGTGAACAACTGGAGGAAAAAGGAAAACCAATGAACACCAACAAAAACATCAGTGGTGCCATGGCCTCAGAGGCAGTGGAGATGTCCTGTCATTATGTTTTCTGGTGGACAGACACACAAACAAATGATTTATTAGGGTGAATCTCACTGCCAAAGCAGGAGAGAGTGGCACAGGAAAGAATATCTGTGGGACAGTGGATGGTAAGGACACCTTAAATCAGCCTTGTCTCCAGAACTACATTAAGAACAGCACCTTTTTCTCGCAGCTCTTGAGATATCTTGACTTCTTACCTGGCTATTGCAGAATTCTACAATGGTGAGTGTACTATGAATTTTATGTAATTACTCAAGACACAGTCCAATCTAGTGGGCATACAATATCACATGAGACAGCAATACAGATAATGTGATTCAATCAGATTGTTACGAAAAGTGTCCCATTATGACTCTAAGCTCAGTTCCCCTTAACTGTGGTTTGGACTATGCAATTTTTTTTTAACAATATGTGTAAACTTTAAGACAATTTAAAAATAATTCATATAATTAATTAAATCAAACAATGATCCTTATTTAGATCACCATAAATGCACGTTCCAGAATTTGGCCCTCTAAATGATATTTCCATGACTAAGATGACTGAGATTATCAGTCTGAGACATTGACGAGTCAGTCAAGTAGGGTCAGTTTTGTCCCCCAGAATGCTTAATTCAGATCAGAACAACTAAGATATCAAAATATACTCAAGGAATCACTCAGGATAATAAAACACTTGTACTTAAAAAAAAAATCATACCTCCATCTCAGCAGGGGCATAGAGGTAATTGAAGAAAACAGGGCTCCTTTTGTGCATCTTTTCAATACATTCCCAAATACAAATTCCTTTTTTGGCATGTTTATCACCTTTATCTTCAAACAGTGTCCCTAGGGAAAATAAGAATAGCAAAAAGATAACTTTATGATACCACATAACAAATGCTAAAGCACAGCCTAAAGGTATTTCAGAGAGTAAAGGTACAGTCAAATCTACTATTAAAGGCCATGTGACAAGAAATCGTATTTGATGAAACAACTGCTGTGATTTGCAACTGCAACTATTCAGTATGGTTATATCTATAAGCCTGTTACAAAATTTACTGAGTGTGTTTCTGAATGTCCCTCTCTGCCTGCAGCTCTGCTGACTCAGCAGAGCACCAACTCCACAATCCATACTGGAAGGAACCAGAGGAGGTCATTGACTCCAACTCCTTGCTTTTGTTAAAATGAAGGTAAATAATAGAAATTAACTTTTTTGTCGAAATAAAATGGTTGCTCCAATCTAGTCTGTCCCCAGGTACAACAGGTTCTAAGAAAAGCATTACAATTGACCAGCTGACCACGAGAACCAGCCCACAAAGCAAAGGAATTCAGAGCAGGTGTTTAGTGAACAAGTTCCAAGAACAGCCTTGACTGTGGTTGTGTAGGTTTATTAAGAAGGTATGTAAGGCCTTGGAACCAGTAAGGTTGCACAGGACAGATGGAGTAAAAAAGAAAATACAAAAAGAGAAACGCTGAAGAGAATGCAAGAGAAAGAAGCGAGAGATAACAGATGGAAAGGCTTTTCTTTCTTGAAACTTCATGCACACTCTGAAGGACTCTGTTTCTGTTAAAAGAAGGTATTTAGTAGGGGAAACAGAACTATGTGGATAAATTGCTAAAAACCACTCTGGGAAGGCACTGATTTCTTTCACTTTCTCTTAGTCCCATCAATGGCACGGCTCAGGAATCACTGATGCAGAAAATTCTACATGTTCTTCACCTCCATTTTGCTTTTTATACCTGAAATGCAATTCATTACATCATCACCATGAAACTACTGGACCACCTTAAACCAGACAAAGTTTTGTAAACCAAACAGAGGAGAAAAATACCAAAAACTACAAAAGCAATATGCAAGAAACAAACATCACACATACCATGTTCTAGTCTTTCATAGTCTGAATCCAGAAGAAATGTTTTAAATCGATTTGATATGTGATGAAAAGCCAGAAACTTCAGATAATATTGATTGAACTCAAACTCTGTCGGGTATTGGTTATGAATCTAAAAAAATTAAAAAAAGAAAAAAAAGGAAAAAATGTATATTGAGGTATAATACTAATAGATATGTAAGAAATAATAAAGTGAAATGACAGTAAAATAATTCCACTGTGAATGCTGAAAAAGAATGGATCCATAAGCATTTTGTCTAAAAATATTTTAAAGCTAAATAAATTCATGTATTGTCCATGCCGCAGAAACATTTCAGAACAGAGTGTACTGTATAATAAGCAGTATTATACTCTGTACAAACCCCAGGATTCTTCAAAGGAATCAAACTGGATATAAATCTTCTGTGATGACTCTTGAGACACCATGTAACTTCACAGGCAAAGATGCTACTCCTTGGATGTGGCTGGAAATGAAGCTTTAATTGGAAGGTTTTGCAGTGGATTTCTTGCTATTGCTCACAACCCCACATAGCAGACACGTACAGAGACAATGCTGCAAATGATATTCCATCTACCACTCCTGAAACAGCTAATTTCTCAAGTACTTTCTAGTCTACACATATTTCTTCCCTTTCAAAATTTGACCCAAAATATTACAATATGAAAAACCTCTCACACTGAGCAGGTGCCTTGCCATTATTCTTCTAAAACAGTGAAATGTATGTAACACCTTAAATGGTTATCCTTATTAGGCTGGGTATCTAATTCAGTGAATGCCTCCAACAGGAGTCAAGAGCAAATACTTAAGAAAACTATACAAGATCATCAGAGTACAGCACTGTGGGATAGCTGATTCTTCACAATTGCTTCCTCTTTAACATTATCTTGAAGACCCTGGTGTAAGATTTTACACATGAAGTTTAATATTCATGGCAAAAGTTTTTAGCACTAGTTATTCATACTTGATATCCACATAAAATGAACGATTCTAAAAATATTGATGAGATATTGCTCAGAGAAATTCCATGTTAATTTAAAATTTAAAAATTACTCTTCAAATAAATTTATGACTTGTGATCATTATTTTCAGAATTAAACATGGTAATTAACTGAAAATTCCTAAGTACAGTGGAAATATGTACAACTTGCAATTGAAAAAGAAATTGCTGCTTGAATTTCACAGTTCAAATATGTCCCACTGTGCTTTATTTAGCTTCACATCAAACCTGTAAAATACCTTTAGTTCTGCAAGCTTACCCTGCCTTATTTTTTCATTTCCATCACTCATTTTCCCAATCCATGTTTTCTATCTAGTCTATACTTATCAGTTACTCAGTGGAGAAATGGGGCTTTTTTCAGTACTTATGGGACTTGTACTAGACTACTTGAAGCTCCTTATGTTTAGATTTCGTCATATACCAACTGAAAAAACACCAACCAGCTAAATAAAGGGAAAAGAAGTGTTTAGCAAGGAAAGGTTGTCCACCAAACAGCAACAGGACCTAAAAACACATCCACAGCATTTCAGAGAGAGAATTTGATGCTCTCATATCTCACTATTAGCTTGAGGCTAGGCATTTAAAATGCTAAAATACTTTAAGATATCTCAGTTCCATATAACCACACTGATTTTATCCCCACTTCTCATACAAATGACTACATTCCTGCACTGATTTGTAAGAACAAAGTTAAGCAGAATTTTTTCTATAATAAATTCAGGGCTCCAACTTCATAGACTAAGCAACATTGTAGTTCTCTTTATAAAAAAAACACACATTTTTTTCTGCCACATATTAAATTAAAATATAATTCAAGTACACTGATTCTGTTCAAAAATTACTATTGGGCAGAAATCCAAAAAAGCTCTGCATGTGTGTGCATCTGGACACACACATACAAGTACTTCAGTACACATTTTCTCCTTGTGTTAGGGGAAGTTTTCTTTAATATACTGCTAGTTTACATGATTTATACAGGGTCTAATTTCTACTTTCTTAATTTCTACTTATGGTCCAATCATTATTTTAATACATACAAGAATTACAAGAATAAGCTGCTTGTAAAATCCTGCCATGGATCTAAGTGTTGTGGGTGATCTCCTTTATGAGATTTCTGGAACTAGAAGCAATTAGAAGTTACTATAATACAATTTACTTTTTAAGAGAAAACAACGATATGACATTTCTTTGATAAAAGTTAATAATACAGTCATTGATGTTGTCTGTGTTTTAATGTTTGTGGCTGATTTCAGAACACTTGGAGATTGGGAAAGATTCCACAGTTAGGTGAAGTGAATACTGTTACTGCTGATTTGTTTAGCTGCAGTGCAGTTAAACTAAGCTATTAGGGATAAAAGCTGCTGATAAAATGAAGCTCCAGCATCAGACATGATAAATTAGAAATTTAACATAGGAGAAAATAATTGTGTTAATTTAAGCAATTAAAAATAACTACAGAAGAGATACTTTTATTACTTGCAGGCAAAACAGCCACTTAGGTTGAGGTTAAATATAGCTGATTTTTCTCTGATAATCCTTTGGTGGCATTTCAGTTAATTTGTTGATTTTAAGGGATATGCTCAAATTTTACATGTAAATGACAAGCAATGTTTTACACTTTATAATTTCAACACTTACCACCTAGAAAGATAAGTCTACAGGGACAAGGTAACTGCATTATTTTTTAAAATGCTTAATCTCCATAATATATGAACATTTAAAACCTGATTAGACCTACAGGTGTTTTTAATATTATGATTAAAGAAACCCAATATTTTAGAATTCTTTTCAAAATCACTGCTCCCACAGAAGTATTTTCCAAATGTATTTAATAATCTTGCACATTTATCAGCCTTCTTTAGTTTTCCAAAACTTCTATCAGCCTTAGTTTTCTAAAATATTCTGTTTTTTCTAAATTCCATTATATATCAATATTTACTTAGTATAAACGAGAAATATAGTACTCCAAACATCCTGTGCTAATAATCACTACTAGGCTACTCCTGCAAACACTGGAATATCTGAATATATCTACCATGGGAGTAGCACACTCACCTCCTCTTACACAGGGTGCTGTAACAGAGCTCCTTATTGAGCTTAAGAGAAGTCAGCTCTATAAAATCATCCTGTTTTAATTATATTTAATAAATTACCAAATAGACACAGAAGAAAAATAAGAAAAGCTTCCTCACTGACATCACTTGCATAAACTCAGTCTCCTTAGAAGCAGAGAAAGTATGTGCCAGATGCTGCTATTGTGAAAGACTGATTTTGCATTAATAATTCAGCTGACACCTGGAGATATTGGCATAAACAATGACTTTTTATAAGATGATGCAGTTCTAATTTAGGAATCACTGCTTCAGTTGTTTTCTCTGTATCTTTAGTTTAACCCATGACATTAATGCATGTAATGGCTCTGCGGTAACTTTCTGACTGTACCTCCTATGTGGAGGTACACTAATGGTTAAAAATATTTTGAAAGGACCAAACATCTATTTCCAGTTAATAGGCAATTTTAAAAAACTGATCATAATATATTCAGGGTCAAATTGCAATCTAGCTGGATTCTGTAGTTGTCTAACAAGTTGCATAGAAACCAGTGAAGCTTAACAAAAATTTTCAAGTACAAATGTTTACTAAATTTATTTTTTACAGTAAATTCCTAGGAAATTTCCATTAATTTGACTCCAAAATAATTTCCCTAGAATTTACAACCATACTGTTACAATTTGGTATGTCAATAGTATGCCATCATGAGTTAGAAGACTAATCTTCATAAATTTGGTTCTAGAAAACTTATTCAGAATTGCATTCTCAGTGGGATTCTAAGTCATTTATCTTACAGATTTTTTTCTAATAGCAAACTAGTATAAATTATCTATATTACACTGATTATGCAATAAAGCTCTGTTCCCATGCCATGTCCTGGATAAAGACAACACTGGGTAAAAAGATTATAACCCGTACACAGCCCTACCTTTCCTCACACAAAGTTACTGCCTCCTTCAGATTGAGCTGCTGAACTGCATCTAATGGTCTTTCCTACCAAATCTTTTCTATCATTTTGGCTGGAAAAGGCAGGCAGGGTCACGTGAAGCCCTCAGCTAACAGACTGGAGGGGTGCTGACTCCACCGGAGCAGCAGTAATGAACAGCTCCAGATGGGCTGCAGGAGGTAATCCTCCTGCTGACACTGCTGCAGCCAGGGCACGTGGACACAGCCCAAACTCACAGACCAGGAAATACAGACCTTTCTGTAAAATGTGTCTGTCAATAACCTGTACCCTTTATAATGCCTCGGAAGGATAGAGAAGAGCCAGATATCTGTGACACGCATCAAAGCCGCTGTCTGAGATGAACTACAAAGGCAATGCTCTTCCGTTTCCCTGACACATTCACGTTTCAAGCAGCAGTATCTTAGGCACCTTGCAGCCTGAGGCAAAATCATACCTGACAGTTGTTAACATCAGGGATTTATCCCACTTTACATTTCATCCTAACTTTTAAAGGTGGGATGATTATAACTCACTATTACATGATCCTAGAGCTGCAGACTGCGTTAAACATAACTTAAAAGAAACCCCAAGAGTTCTGCCATGAAGAAAACATGGTAAATTCTATTTCACGACAATAAACCAAAATCGTTGAATTTAAATTTTAACTTTGTTCTGGATAACCCATTTGTTTCAAAGTTTGTGTGACCTCTGGACGCAAGAAAAAAACACCATAGAGGTATGCGTGGATAATTTCCTTGCTTTTCTTTATGCCAACTGCCTAAGATTTATTACAGTAGAACTGGAGTAAAGTGTTTCCAGGGTCAGAAAGAGGATGTAGGCATCAACAAATGGTTGATGGGGAGATGCTGGAGTGATTCACTTTGAAATTATACTACTGCTTAAAATCAAATGTAAGTTCACTCCATTCCACTAACAGACAGAGCTATCCAATCAGGTAATTTAAGCTTAGAGAAGACTCCTGACAGCAGAGAGAATACAGCACCATGACCAAAATGTATGATTTACATGCAGAATTGAACAAACCACCAGGCAGATGGGTTTCAGTATTGAAGATGGGTTTTAGTATTGAATTGCCATTGCAACCAAGAATATATTTTTTTCTACTTCAGAAAAGGAGCAACAACCCCAAGCCTATTTTAAGAAATAGTTAGTGTGACAACTGGGCAGATTAAGAATGAAAGATGCAGTACTGATTATTTTTAGAGAAATCTCCCTATTTCAAATAAAACAAACCTGAGGACCACAACCATTGGGAAAGAGAATGACGGAACAGGAGATATGACAAATACTTCTAAGGTTTCCCTAAGGGGAATGCTGTAGGAATCAATCCAAATTCCGAGGATATGATTCATTAACTTCCAAGACAGCAATAATGATGACTGTTGGTGTTTAAAATTGGGATGCAAATAAAGTTTTTCTTTTCAGTAACGTGTTCTTCTGTCTTTACTCATCTTCTTATAAGCTCATTCATTATCAATCTGACTCATATCTGAAGATGGTTTTTCACTGGTTTAGCAAGTTATTTAATCTGTGGAGTTTGCTTCAGGTAGCAGAGTAAGTCTACTTACTGACTTCTCTTTCATGCAAGTATTCACTATGAACATGTCTTCCCAGTAAGAAGGCTGGTGCTTCAACAGTTATCTTGTGTGAGACACGGTCATCCATAAATTTTAATACAGGTTAATAATGTCAAGGAGACTTTCAGCTTTTCCAGTGAGAAAAACGAGAGAAGTGGGACAAGAAGGACACACGTACAAAGGAACTGTGCAAGCGCCTATCCTGTGTTTGCAGACACAGAAACTCTGCGAAGAATTTACATTGACTGGTTTCAAATCAAGAAAAGGATAGTCTTCAGAATCAACTTGAAATGAGTATAATATTCTTAACCTAACCTCTTCCTACACAACACAATTGTTGGTGTCCCTCTTCTTCTGAACATGTACTACATAAAAAAATTAGAACATCCCAGGACCCCTGGTTTATGGCTATCATTGTTTCCAGAATTAATGAAGTACAAGGCCTTTTCAAGGCTCATCATCAGCACAAGGCATTAAAAAATGTCACTGTAAAAATCAGTCAATTCCTTCTTCTGAATAAAGATGTTTTTAAGCTAAGACTGCCAAAAGCCAGTCTTAGCTTAAAAAACTTTTGTTTGAAATCTCCACATAAATGACCTTAATAGATCCATGCTGCCAATCATCCTTCTTAGTCTGCTTTGTGCGGATGGGTCAGTCTCCTCTAGACAACCACTCCTCTTCTTGAGGTGCACTCCATTCACTTTAATAAAAACTAGAGAAGGACATTACTAGCCTTCTCAAACCCTTATCCACAACGTCTAAAATACTGGCATATACACATTTCTTTATGTATCCTTCTTGTAAATAAAGTTAGATAGATAGAGGTTGACTTACCTGATGCACACAGTCTAAGAACTGTAAGAAAACAGGAGCAAATCCACTACCCTGACAATTGAGACTCAGATTACTACGTTGACTGAATTTATGACCAAAAGAGAGCCATTCTTTTTCCACCAGCATTCGGAAGCCTTCAAGTGTCCTGTAGAAGGGATCACTGAGTAACTGCACCAGAGATACCACCTGGATCACAAGACAGGATATATTGTGTTAAGAGTGACAGAAGTTAGGAGAACCCTTTAGTAAATGAATATAAACATTCCATAATCTGTTTACCGTTCAAGAAAACAAAAGCTTTCATATAAACTCAATGGCAAGTATTTTATCACATACATTAAGTATTTTTATAAAACAAGTCAAATAATATCTCATATGAAAAAGCTTCAATTAAACTGAGGCTTTACAATATCAGTAAAAGTCAAACCTAAGCAACTACAGACTGGGGAAGTCACCACAATGATTACTACATTTAATGACATTTGAAATAAAACCACTTTTATCATAAACAGTTTTAAGGCAGAATCTGCTACCTCAGCAAAAGAAAGCATTAAAGAATTGGTCCTGAGCTTGACTTTAGATTTCCTGCAGCATTGCCATGCTATGGTGATTACCAGTCAACTTCAGTCTGTCTTTACAAGCAGCATCTCAGGAGACTTGAAAATACAGCACAGACTGCTTCCACTTCCAGCTATGCACACCCTGTTCTCTATTCTTTACTGTTTGACAGTGATTCCAGTAATTACGTTAACATTCCTTTGTGGGTTTGTTTACCTGGTATTAGGATGCTGGCTGCACATGAGGTTTTTATTTACAGACTTATTGATATCTGTGTTTATCTTTTGAGTTATGAAACAACTGCATGGACACAATGCCTTTACAAAATGGGGCACCGGGTCTTCATTCACTTAATTTATAGTTTGTGGTGATCTGTCCTTGCAGCAGGTGCTACAGTCACTTTGGCACAAATTTAGTTTTCTCCCTGTGTGTGGTCTCCTAACTCCATTTATGGAGTGAATGGAAGAGAATGAATTTCTTCTGTGTTTAGAGTGTAGTATGTTTAAAAAGAACAGTTGTGGCAACTTTTAGCTTTCATTCTTACATATGGTCAGGTGCAGGAATGCCGATTTTGTATCTAAGCCTTAGAATTGTTAAGTACATCTGGACCTTTGGAACAAATTCATTTTAAGGAACTATTTCATGGTGTAAATTGCAAATGAATGCAAGGATTCATGCATTCTAGTTTCGCCTCTGCTGCCACAACACAAATTTATCAATGTTATAGCAAATTATCTGTCACTTGTTTAAAACAGTAATGCTTGGTGTTTTTTCTTAATATTTAGCTATTTCAAGGTTTTAATAGCATCTTACTTGTGCAGTTATATCCCAGCCATCTTCCAAACAAACCATAACAGAAGAACCATTTTCCAGGAGTTCAGAGATGATCACACCCAGTTGCATTATCCTGTGAAGCTATAAAGCATTATGAATGAATAATGTACTCAAGCATAAGATAAATTTCTAGGTAATATCAATAACTAGAATATTTTAGCACTTAATATTTAAAAAGGTGTTCTGAGATTAACATACAGCACAGAGAAACACGTTGATGCAACCGATTAGACAACAATAAAATGTAGCCGTCTAAGAATTTCCATCTGAACTACAATAAAACTAGGGAAATTTTTGAAGATAGGAACTTAAACTATTAAACTATTAAACTATTAAAGCCAATGAGTAGTGTAATAAAATAGCTGTCATAAAAAGGAGAATGGCTGACAGATTTACTGTAAAGAAATTCCATCCTGGGCTTAACACTAAAATAATTTCCTGTGAAATGTTAAGGTTCCATAAAGTCACTAAGTATTTTGATGGAGAACCTATGTAAGATATTTACAAGATAATATTTTTAATGCTTAGTTCTCATGGAAGTTGGAAATTAATGAATTGAAGAATAATAACATTACTTATAATCAAACCACAAATGAAAAAATAGACCCAGAAACAGTTCAGATAGTTGGGCGGACAGGCTAAAACATATGGAAAGAGGACACATTAATTATTTGAACTTGATACTTATTATGCAGTGATGCTAAAATTCCTTGAGCAGGTGAGTTAGTTAATTTCTCTGGAAGAGTTATTGACTGGAATGATGCCATTTCAAATGCAATAGGTATAAGCAGGTTGAAAAAATTCAGGTGAATCTGAGCAACTTTATCTTACAGTGAGACTTCACATAGTTTTTACTAAAAGGAAAAACTATATGATGTTTCCACTGGTTTTGTTGCACTGTGACAGCACTCTTGTAAACAATGAGATAATATAACATATAAACAGTTCAGCTTTTTACAGTATTGCTCTTTGTGGAGCACTGAATATAACCAACCAATAGAAGCAGCAGGAAAGATGAAAGCCAGAAAGGAGGAAGAAAACAATATAGGAAGACAAATAAGAGATGGCAAGAAACATCTAAGACCATTTATGCAAGGAAAAAGTAAGTTCAGAAAGGACAGAAGGCACAGGAAAGTGAAAAGAAAATTAAACTGAAGAAAATAAGAGGAAAAATGTTCAACCAAACAAATAGCTAAACACTAGAAAATTCATCATTGTTTCGGGCAGTCTGATTTTTTCCTCTCAAAAAACCACCAATCTGATGAATATTACCATGGAAATTGTGATGGAAAAACCTTGACTCCTCTGAGTGTTCAAACAGCCATTAATTAGGAAAAAAAAACCTAAACAAAGTTTCCTTCAATTTGTTATAGAAAACCATTGAAAAAAGCACCACTTTTACAACCACGAGCAGCTAGTTTATTGTTCTATACTTTCTCAGGCAACAGAATAGAAGAAAGGCTGTTTTTCCCCATGAAGAAACTTTTATGCAATCTGATTATACAGATTCAGTCTTAAAAATGCAAACCACACATTTTTATAATTTGCATTCAGAATATAGGGCAGCACTTCAAATTTCTTCTTATGCATTCACGTTCTTATAAAGAGAGAGTTAGTCCTTACAGTGTTAAAATCAATAACGTTAAACTTCTATTGCCCAGAAGAGGAAAGCATAATACAATAAAAACACATTTCCTAAATGACAGATCTGTGTTCTTTCACGGGAATAGCAGAAAATGTGCCAGATCATAAATTAACTTTATCACGTAAGTCACATATGACGTGATTTAAAGCAGAGAGATGTGGTTTAAATGCCACACAGCTAGTGTGTGACATTATGATCTAGTCCTGAGCAAAGAGTGACACACTCAATGCAAAGAGTGATCCTCTGAAACATGCCAAAAAGGAGTAACTGCAGTGTTATCTCCCCTCAGTCTCTGTGCTGCTATAGGGACATGTTTATTTCCTCAAAGTGACATTCAATTTGTTTATCTACACTTATCAACTCGCTCAACTCCACTGCACCTGAAAATGTTCACACAACGAGGGAGTCACGTCCTCGTGCTCTTCCCACTTTTCCCCTTTCTGAAAAACATGTTGGCCAGGCACAGCCATGACCAGCTCCTTGCTCTCTATGGAGTGGCCACACCTCAGGGAAGAAGTTAAGCCACTTGTTGCACTACAGCACATTTCAATCAGGAGTGCATTTTCAAATGTGGAATTACTGAAATGACTGTGTTACTCACATGTATTTCCTCTTTGGGAAATCAGCATAAAAAATTCTGGTTTGTATGATTAATTGCATTTGAGAAGAATATATACAGCAGCAGATTCCAAACACAACAAGCAACTGTTAAAAAACATTCACTATAATTAAAATGGTTTTAGATTTACAAAGAGCTGGCTTTCCCATATCCTTCTTCATTTGAATCTTGCAAAGTGTGTTCCAGTCTTGCCTTTGTTTGGTTAATATTTATGTAAGGGAATATGGGATAGGGAAATAAAGATACAGATTCAAAGAGATCAGATTAACACACATACAAATCCTCTCTTCTCAACAAGCACTTCCCCATATCCCACAACAGGCAACAGATGTTTGCTTTATTTGTTAACTTGTGCATATCGAAATTCAGGGTGGGAACGCATATGAAGAGTAGAATATTGGTTTTAAAATAAAAAAGCTTATTTATTGTTCTAAATTTTTTTCCTGATTTTTAAAATACATAAAATAAGAAAACCCAGTTAAAACCAAGACCATAAATTTATATAGTCAGAAAAATCAGTGATCTCTTCTTGTGTATGTGTTCCATGCTACAAAACATAAATTATGCTATAAAAAATGCCTCCCAGATTAGTAAATGTTATGATTGTATTAAAATAATAATACTTAGGTAATGACAGAATTGATAGTATGTGAAGTAATTGAAATGAGCAAAGAAGAACAGCTGGTTACAACACAATAGTTCTCTGTCAGAAGAGCCTGAAATTTATTTTGTGTGAGCAGTACTGCATATAGATTATCAGAAGTATCTGTCATATAAATTACCTGTGGGAACCACTCTGACTCCCCAAGTGCTTTAAGGAATGTTGCCTCAGAATCAGTAGGAATTGTGCTGGGAACACAAGCTCTCATCAGCTTTTTAAAGCTTGCCTTTGTCTGTCGGATGTCACTGAATTCAACAGGAACAAATTCACAATTCAAAGCAAAATCAAGTTTGAACCCCTGTATGAAAAGGACAACAGCAGATGTAATTTAAAAGGGAAGCATATTTTTCACTGACAGACTCCTTAAATCCCAAAGTGTTGTCTGCTTTATTGCTAAATAATTTAATTCCTAATTCACCTGCCCAGGATAATAAAAATCCTTACACCACTTGGAAAATGTACCATAACAAAGTACTCTTCTACTACTCATAACAGCAGAATGAACTGCACAGCAGTCTTATTTTTAATAATAAATTTAGTAGTAATACTAGTGAAAAACTAGAGCTGAGTGACAAATCTGTTGAGTTCTTTATACACAACATAATGTGTTTCCTTTAGCATTTTTAAAGCAAATTAGCAATAAATAAATACAAATTAAAATAACTACCATTAAAATTACATACCAAAATAACATACCAACAGTGCAGGACAGATTCTGGGAGTTCAATAAAGCAGAAAACCTCTCAAACCCAAAAAGAACCATCACAACTACAAACTAGCTGACTCATCTAAGCAGTCACTGTACACTGTGACAGTTGTTTGTCTGAAGTACCTAGTTCAGCACAGAATAGCAGGCAGAGAATACCAGACAGTTTTCCTAGCAGAATTCCTCTTGTTTTATTTAACTTACTACATTTAATAAAGAAGGACCAAATTAAGAAAATAATTTAGTTAACTGAAAAAAAAAATCCAAAACAATGGACTATGATGAAAAGGATAATATGGAGAACATTTAGAGCAAAAGCAATTCTCATGTATGAAGCACCACTGAAGATGTTAATGCCAAACTTTTTGAGTTTTGTTCAGAAATTGCTCTTTCATTGAATTCAACTTGGCCTGCAAATAATTTTCATTAAGCTCCTTCATAGGATGCCAAGTGAAAATGTGGTAAAGCAAAAGCCCAGGTTTAATTCTGTTTGTATTTTGTCATGGTTCAAATCCAAATTTAATAACTCACCTAGCAAACTTGCTTTCTTAGAATGTAAGTTGCAATAATGTATGACAAAAGCAATGAGAAAAGTAGCACCATTTCCTTAAAATGTTGTACACTTCTGTTTGTATCATCAATTTATGTGACATGATATTTAGCAGAATAAAGCACGTTTTTATAGGAGTCTACATCAGTAATGCATGCCCTTTACAAAGCTAAAAATTTCCAAGTTAGCAGGATGCTAGAAAAACTAGGAAAGTACTTCACAATCAAAAATCAACAAGATTTCTTTATACTAAAACAAAACTTGAATGAATTTATAGAATAAATACAAATCATTGATAGAAGGTTTAAAACACTTAATCACTATGCAATTTTATTCTTACATTTGCTAACACAATACACTCTTCTTTAGAAATGCCCAAAGGTGACTAATCTTCTGCAAAACTGTGTTATTAAACAAAACAAACAAACAGAAAGTGAAAACCCCTTGAGCTCTAAACCAGCAAGGAAATAATTCAGCATAATATAATGATCCTTGATGTTTCCAAATTATATACATCCTACTGTACTTCAGAATAATTCATGCTGATTTTGCCCAATGCTTGTTGCTTGTACATCCAACAGTCAGCTCTTTCAATATTTTGCATAATAATACACACCTGTATAGTAATAGATTAAAAATGTTTTAATCTATACCAAGCACTAACATATTATCCTCAACTGTTTGTGACTGCTGACACATTAACCAGCTTCTGTTGTTTGCACAAGTGGCCTAAAGGGTCACGTCAAAGCAGCAGACTGAAGTACAACTTTAGATTCATGATTGAACTCTTCATCAATCAGTCATTAAGAAATCAAATAAATAGAAATGTGAATAGTTGTTATTATTGGATTATGGCAATTCAATTCTGTGCAATTGATGCATTATTCTGGCACAGCATGATTCCTCCACCTCCCAAAAGAACAAAATTTCAGAAAGAATTGAATACTGATGTATTTTCCTACTACCAGTAACTGTTTTTGAAGGTTATGTATTTCAAAAAATACATATTATCTTATGTATGTTCACATTTTGATTGAGAAAGTAGAAAACAACTGATTTTTCAATCTTCGAATGCAGAGGCTTAAAAAAAAATCTGCAGTCGTTTTCAGAAACAAGTAAAACTACCAAAAATTCATGTAGAGGATACTTGTTTCTTAAACAACCGCATATAAAATATTAAAATCTATCCAAAAAGGTGTATGAAACTGCAGACATCATGGTTCTCTTCATGTAATCAAATCAGGATGCTCAGAGTTCTATTCTCATCAATTTGGCTTGATGTGAGTTTAAGTGTTGCCCACAGTAACGAAGGTTTCCTCCTCTGGTAATCGCTTTCCTGATTTACAGCATTCCATTTCCTTCATAGCGTATTTCAACACATCGGGAAAAATAAAACTGCACTTCAAATCACCAAATAAGCCTGTTTTCCTATTTCCCCAAATAGCAATCACCGAGATGATGACTCAGCTGAACATCAGACAAGCAGTCAGCAGATTCAGAGTACAGTAGTATGTATTTAGGTGTAATTAAGTGTGGCTCTGAAAGAAAGGACTTGTAAATGCAGAGCTCCAGCACTTCCCTTGGAATATGAATGGTATCTGGAAGGGGCAGCAAGCTCCACTGCTGCTGCACCAGCCCCACTCCATCTGCCTACAGTCCCATTGTTCAGCTTTATCCCAGCAGTGACAGAGCAGAGCCCAGCTGTGCTGCCCTTGCTCCTTGCAAAGCCAAGGCAGGACAGCAGTTGAGACAGTGAAGACACAGTGACTTCTGAATATGAAGGCTTTTCTGGATGCTCTGTTGCATAGCAAGGCATGTCTTTCCTAGTCATGCTCTTCCCAGTTTGAATGCTCTTACCTTGTACAAAAGCTATTCCATTCCTCTCCAGTCATCTGTTGCCCATCGTTGCATCTCTTACTTCAACAATACATTAATATTTGACCAAAAGTGACAAATGCACAGAACTTTTGTGGGTTTGAGCCTGATCTTTAACTGCTCTTCAAGACAATGTAGTATATTTTATGTTAACTTTGTTGTATTACATGACCACAGAGCTTGATTTTCACCACCCTAGCCCCCACTAAGTTATACAGCATTAATTGCTATTCTGCATATAGAAATACTTCTCATAAGACTTGAGACCTTAAGGAGAGTTATCCATCTGCCTTATCTAGAGTATTATTTCCTGTTTTGTAACATTAGAGTTATTAAACTCAAGCCAAATAAAAACTATGTTAACATAAAATAAAAAAAAAAATTGCCATTACCCGTAACTGAGATTTTTCTCCAAATATATAGAGGGCTGCTTGTCTTCTCAAAAGCTGACTTTGCAGAAAACTGCTGCTACTGTAGGAAGGGGTGTTATCTTTCCCTGCAAGTCTTGCACCAACATCAATGAATGGAGTCTGAGTGTTGATAAATCGGTTGCTTGAACGAAGACTCGCCCATACACCTTCATAAGGATGAGAAATATTTAAAAACCTCTTTGCGTGAGGCACTGAAGATCATAATTATTAAGGCATATGCTTAACATAATTTAGAAAGTAGAGTGCTTAAACATGTCACGTGCACCCCTCACAGGACATAATTAACAGCACGTACTGGAAAGAAATATTTTCGTAACAAAACTTGTCAAAACCATCCTACTGCATTATCATGTAACCTAAAACACTAATCAAGCTCTGCACCAGCACTTTCTATTGTAGAGAAAATAGTTGCTATGATATCAGTAATACAATGATAAAATGAATCAGACCTTGCAAATAACATCTATTTAAGTGTACAGAAATGAAATTACTAGTGTTCTTTTCAGAAAGTGGGACAAAAGTTTGAAGTACTTCCTTGTCAGGTATATTATTTTGGAAGTCTAACTATTAAGAATATTACATAATTGCTTTCTTCAAAAATGGAAATAATATCACTTAAAATTCCCTATTACCTAGAATTCTTATGTTCTTTTCACCCTACACAGTGTAATAGTATCAACCATCTCATACTCTAATGAAAATGTATGTGAGGATGATCAGTTCAAATATTACATTTCAGGATAAAGTATTCCATACTGACTCTTGAAATGCCATGACTAAAATGCAGAATGCCACAAATTTTAGTTTTTAATTGTCCTTTCTAACGGACAATTAGAAATCAAAATGAATTTAAGAAAGTTCTTCTTTTAATCACATTGTAGCAGATGGGACAGTGGTACAGCTGTGTGAGCAGAGAGAAGGATGCCTAGAAGATCACAGCCCTACAGTTCAAATCACTGCTCTGGCAGCAGGGCATGGTACAGAAATCCCAAAATTAGCAACAACGTGAGCTTGAAACAGTGCAGTGTGATGTGGAAATGTGGAACCACGGACTTGCATCTGAAAGCAGCACAGCAATATTTGAATGGCTTCACATCAACCTCTCAGCAGCACTTTTAGTTTGCATATTGTGCCTTGCTGCTGCAGCTGTACTGTCATTTCCAGAGGAGGAAATTTCTACAGCACACAGACATGCTCTGATCTGATCATGCTTAAGTAAGTTTTGTGATTTTATCATGATAAAGCAGCAATAAATCAGACTGCCAAGGCCTGTTTAGCACTAGCAGAAGAAAATACAAGTAGTAAATACTTTTCTGTTTCTCGTGCCTAAGTTAATAACCATGATTTTGTGACATTGTGTGTCCACTGTGAGGTAGCTGAAAGGTACTGGGTTTTCAGAATATAAACAGCACTACTTGAAAAATCAAATTCCTTAAAGTATACTAAATTTGCCATTCAAATGGCAGTGTGAAATTCTTTAACCCGATATGCACTAATCAGGTTATCAGAAGAGACTCTTGTCCACAAATCTGCAAAGAAAGATATCGAAAAGAAGGACCAGAAATATCTCATAGTAGTAGAAATTTAGATGCTATAGGACCAACACCCCACACTCTTCAGGAAAATCTAATAATATGCATAGTTAACATTTCTTGCATAGAAGAAAAAGCTGCAGATAACAGTAAATTCCACCGAGAAAGCTCAACCAGCAAAATAATTTTATTCTATTTTTTAGAAGCAGGATTACATTTCTATTGAAAAAATAATTCTGTACAGTAATCCTCAACAGGGACTTGTCTGTAGAGTTTAGCTTGTCTGCTTGTCTGGCTATTAGCCTGAGAGGTGAGCAAAGGAATCGGAGTAACTGGGAATGGCTGGCAGGAGCTCATGAATCAGTAACAGTTCCAAACAGCTCCCACTTCACAGCCAGCCAGTTTTATAAACACCTCACCTAGTAAAGCAGCGTGTTTAGTACAAACTTCTATACCACGTCTCAACTACTGCAGATGAAATAATGAAGACTTTAGCAAGCAGAATTCACAGCAAACATTGAATAAGAGAAGTTAACTTCTCGTTCATTTGGTATGAAAAATGCTAGCTCCAACACAGACTGCTGTCCCCAGAGACGACACACACAGAAATACACAGTGACACTTGGGAGCATTTCACAAAAGCAGCCATCATTAGCACCTGTAGCACACCAAAAGCAACAAAACTGGTTACAAATACATGCAGATGAACATGTTTACCAGAGATGGATTGCATGGATTAAAAGGAACAACTATGTTTCTATCCTAATTTTGCCTAGTAGCTTATTTTTTGTTAGCAGTATCTAGCATTCATTATTTAGCATATACTGCATTATTATGACTTTCTGATGTGACAGAAATCAATTTTTCCCTGTTCACTAACCCTGACAATAATTATGGAAAGAAACTAATTGACTAGGTAACAGTATTTCTTAGCTATTTTATTAAAGCAGTAGGAATACTAAATACTCTTTTCCAGAATTAATTTTTTGCTGTTTAAAATTTTCACACCGAAAATTTCTATGTATCACTCTGTGTTAGATCAGTGTCACTGCATCATACATTCAGTGGCCAAAAAATTCCAAAACAAAACAAAATCACAACACTGAGCTAAAAAATTAAAAATTTTGTTAATGCAGAATCAAAGTTGTCTGTCAGTATCACTTTAGAATGTATTAGGATATTGTAGCAGCTATGAAGATGGTAGAAAAGAATGTGCTTTTAGGACACAGAATACAGTACCTTGATGGACTCTTTCCTTAGTTGCTGATTTGGAATTTGAATGAGTGAAACATTTATCTCTGTACCCAAGCACTGGTAGATAACAGTTAAGACAGAAGGAGGAGGAATGGAATGCACATTGCAGCGAAACACATTGCAGGAGAAAAGAAAAGGGTTACTTATTAATTTCCAAAGGTCTAGTATATATTGCATTTCTTTAAAGTACAAGATTTATCAGACAGCACAAATCTTAGTCATCACAAGACAAAACATTAATCAAGCCACAAAATCAATATAAAATGGGAAGGAGGCATTCATTTATCAAAAAGGAATAATTTTCATTCTCATTGCAACAGCTTCAAACACGTAGCACAGCCATCATATGCTTTTCCATAATTATAATGCAAAGGAAATGCAGCAATTAAATAATTCTTATTGAAAGCTTCTACCCAGCTGAAAGTTAGTTTAATTAAAAATCTCAAACTTAATGCCTTTTATAAAAAAACTGTTTTAATCTAGGTGCATTAAGTGCATAATTTGGTGGACCTCAAAATCAAAGCAGAGTGAAAGACATTTTTTCTACGCACTTCCAAACATTTTTAGAGGACCATGTACAAGTATATAATTTAGAAAACATGTAATATCTACCACACAAAGAGACTTTCTCTCCCCTTGCAAAAATTCTCATTTTCTGTGGGAGCCTTATATGTTTATCAGTGTATATATCTTTGGCTCAAAAACCACATCAACACAATCAAGTTCTTTTAAATCAAATATTCTGTTGAAACATACTCAAAATGTTAATGTCACCTGCTATTAATTCTCTGAGCTGGGTCTGTATTTATTAATTATAAATATCCTAGTAATTTTTCAATAACAGCAAATCATACTCAGAAAACTTTTTATTCTACTAAATTACACAACAATGCCAGGTAAGAAGTGATGCTCTGTAGAGCCATACTATATTTATGAAGTAATATAAGAAGAAAAACTATGGATTTTGAGTGAACTTGCAATTCTTATGAAAGATATCACCCAAGGTATTGCCAAAAAAAAGGTCCAAGAATGAAATATAATGAAATATAATATTATGAAATATAAGTATTTGAACAAATATTTCAGATCAAAACCAACCTGACTGGGCTTTGGGCAGATACTTTGTTACAATGTTCCAGATAAAGTAAAAAACCACATTGACACAGACACAAATATTCAGAACAATTGATGAGTATTCAGAACAATGATTTCAAAAAATGCGAAATACTCCTCAAGCACTGGAATGTATCTTTTAACTTAAATTTTAAAGTAACGTGTATTAAAAATACATTGTTTATAGCACAAAAAACAGAAAATGTAATTTTCAGCTGGTGTATCATAGCTGAACCTGGCTTTTGAGCCCTGGTATGTGTGATAATTTAAACAAGGAAAGAAAGAGTGATCCAGAATCCAAACCACAAAAGTACTGCTATTGTATTTTGAACAGTGTAATACATAATCCATGGCTGCTTGCTACTTCACATCTGAAATATAACTAGCTATGAAAAAGTAGTAAGAAACTTTGCAATAATGAATTTGAGAACAATTTTAAAGATTTCATATACTTCGTGTATTTTACAAGTTCTTTTAAAAGAATTGTGTCAACTAATCTAAAAAACCTAGTGTTTACTTCTCTGCAGGGAGATAGTCCCTCTCTCTGTTCCCTCTTACCCTGTCAGCTTCTCACCTTCACTAGGGCTCCCATTGTACTTGTCAAACATTCTTATGTTTCAGCAAAGTCCTCACGTATCCTGCTGAACTGTGAATAGACACCTTTCAGATATAGAGAGCAGGCGTGGCATCAATCCAGCAAGACACAAGATAACTTCTCTGCCCTCTTCCTGATTACTGCTCAAATTTAGCCAAGAGACTTTAAAGTCCAGCAAAACAACACGCCTGTGACCTAATACTGCCTTGAGGCTCCTTTTTTCTCTGCTGAGTAGCAACAAACTCATCCTATCACACTTAGCACAAACTCTAATCCTAGAAACCAGCAACAGTTATTTCAGTAATCCTTTTATCTTCAAAAGACAACTTCCATGCAGTCAACCAGCAAGCTTTCCTTTACTTATCTGGAGCACCTCCTCTGCCCCTCAGCACCACTTCGCTGTTGGCACTTTTGTCCCAGCACAAGGGGATGGAATCCAACCAAACATCTGCTGTCAGCTACCCAGCATTTTCACTATTTCAGTACTAAGTCGGGCTGGGCGCAGCCATCACTTTATCTTAAGAACTGCAGACACTTTCTCCCCTACTCTCTTTGGTCCCTAATCATTTTACCTAGCCAGCTAAAATCACTTTGTTTTTTCATCCCCAACTACAATACAACACAGTAACTAGACAGTGAGCAGGGAACATACACAAAACTTTTATATATGAAATATGGATATACTATGATTAATGAAGATGCACAGAATTTTCTGGTTTTTGGTGATCACCATTTCTTCTCCTGCCCTTCCTCTCTTCCCTTCTGCTACAATTCTCACATCACTTCTCTACACAGCTCTAAGCATTTTCTTTTCTTTTTCCCTTTCCCCTCCCTCTCACATTCTTCCTTCTTTCATTTACTTAATCCCATCCATCTCTTTTGGAGTTTTTTCTCTACAGAATTGTTTTATCCTTCCCCCTATGAAGCCACCTGTTTTGTATAACACGGTAAGATTTAGGTTGGAATAGACCTCAGCAGGTCAACGTAGGTCTAACTAATTTTAGATGAGGTATCAAAAAGGAAGAAAACCAACTGTTAGATGCTTAGAAATAATTTTAAGAGGAGCTTTCAGGGCCAAAAGGTAATAAATCAAATATAAAATGTTCCCTTTTAGGAAATAGATGAATCCCTATATTAACAAACGTATTTAAGGAATTTGGTGCATTAATTTATGCATATATTGCAGATAGAAAAATCATAACAATTTCATCAGACTAGAAGTGTAAAAGTAGTGAAAAAGTATTTGGAATCCACTTAACAGAATGAAAGGTTCTTGTAGAAATGACACTGATGAGCCCCTGTACCTAAGAATAATTATTTCCAAAGAATGCACTGTATCTCCCTACTTATTATGGCTGGCCACATAATTAACTGCTACCTAGAGTAAAATTATTCAGATGGATTATTTGCAACTTTATGAAGCATCAGCTAAGCTTCAGCCAACATACTGGAATGATCTGCAATTGGAGACTCTAAAGTGTATTAAATGATAAAATATGCACTTTCAGGCAACACAGTTTAGACAAATTCAAAACATAGATGAATCCTTAAGTATTCAGAAACATAATTCCTCATCGAATGCTTTATTTTTCACTAATTCCAAAATGAAACAAACTTTATTTCAATTGTAAAGGTTTTGAATAGAAATTTCATACTTAGATAATGTTGTGGACTGAGGCTAATCTGTAATTTCTGTTTTGTTGTTTCACAGAGCAATGAATCAGTCAGAAATATAATTATGTTTATTTCATTAACATTTTTTTTATCATTTAATACTTCAAATAATAGACTTTGAGCTAGTCTTACTAACCTCCTCGAGAAAAGCTATTGGATAGATTTACATCCAAATGTCCTGGCACTACCTGCTTAAACACAGTAGACATTCTTGAAGCCCTCGTTTCAGTGCCTAAAGTCAGCCAAAAAAAGAATAGAAGATTAAAAAAACTACAGCGTTAACCAGACTAACACTTATCATAACTGATAAAATGCCCTTTTTCACACAATAGAGCTAATTCTTGCCAATTTTGTACTTGAGATTTATTTTTTAAGACAAATGTGTACATTGGCAGCAGTATGGAGGTGTTAGATACAGCTAAGCAATCAACATATTTTATAATAAATGAAGCAAAGCATGCACACTTTGGGAATGGTGTTACTTTACATGAAAAGCCACTGTTTGGCAGTATTAGGCCAATTACAACTAAGACAAGACAGACACAATTTCAAGCTACACGGTCCTTTCTGACACCTTGGGTTTACCTTCACATAAACCTTATCAGGTTTCATCACAAAATAACTGAAATAAAACATGGATTAATTTCTTGGTGGTTCCACCTAGGCATAACTCAAACAGTGTATTTTGGAAGAGTTTTCACTATTGGGAAATTACATTAGAAACCCACTATGAGTGTGCAACACATAAAAATGCCTACATGCCTTCCATTGCTGCTGCAGCTAAATAGTCTATCTGTTCATATAAAATCTGAGCTTGCAATCACATTACTGCTTCATTATATGAAATAGAGCAGTATTTTGTGCTCTTTTCAATTTGGCAGTCTCTTATTCAATATGCAGTTTACAATGTGCTTAATTTGCTGTAAAAGACTTTATTTTTTAGTTTTGCTTCTTCATATCATGTAATTGTTGTATCGTAAAAAAACAAACAAAAAAACTAACTGGAAAGTTTTGGCATCTTGACATTCTGGAGAACTTTATTTAATTTGTTCCAGAATTGTAATAAATGACTAATGCCTCAAGACTGACCATCATACTCAAGTGAATTCCACCAAAAACTATGACCCACAGGTGGATGATTGTTTACTGTCAGACTAATACCAAAAATATTTTGGGAAGGATTATAAACATCCTTTACATACAGAAAACACATTCACTGAAGCTAAGAGTGAACAGGCTATCTGGTAAGTCTAACAACAAAGAAACAACAGAATTCATATGGGACACTGAAATAACATCCTATCAGAGAAAACTCGTTCTTCAACTTAATCAGAGAAAAGCACTATACAAACCAATTTTACCTGGAGACAGAGCAATTGTTGGGCTAACAGTGAGAGTATTACTGCCATTCATTTTGCAGTGGACGGATATCACATTCAGTAAGGCTTGTAGGTATTTTTCCTGTTCTATACTGCTTGAAGATTCTAAAGAAGCAGGAGCTAGAGGCACAAGAAGAATGGAATACATTAAAATACAAAAATACAATTTATAAATACACAAATAGCGAAGTAAAAGGCTTCTTGTGTAAAGCAGAGCATTGAAAATGTCATAATTTGTCTCTCAAAGGTTCAAAAAGCCTTCAGCTGTTTATCACCTGGCTGCAGAGCAGGACTCAGCAATGTTCTCTTCTGCACAGAGCTGAACTTCTGAAACCTCATGGTCACTACTTAAAATCCACCATTAGCCAGTGATGAAAACAAACAGTGAAAATAATGTAGCATTCCCTTCACTCTCCAAAGGAAAAATAACATTTCTAAGTTTTGCTACTTGTCAGCAAATTTCAGCCTTCGAAAACAACGTGCAGACAACAACAGACAGAACTGTTTCTTTGACAAAAGTAAGTTGAAACCATACTCAAGAAGCTCTTCCTCATTCCAGAAAAGGAAGGTTACTTACCTGTACCTGGAGGTTCCTTGAGATGCAGTGCCCATTCACCGAAGTTCATGTGTACCAGACACTGGTGTTCATACACTCTGCTGAATTTAGAGACATCAGTGGACACAATCCACATGTCCTTCAGATACCCTATCCCCAGAACCTGATGATTTCAATGGATTACAGAAGAGAGGAAAGAGGATGGACAGGGCATGCACACCTGGATTATACACCTTAAGGGATCTTCAATGTGGAAAAGTAACACTCCCGTTCCCCAGTGACAGTCCACCAGCTGACCAGCAGGTAACTTCAGGAAGTGTCTTCCCACATGTTTGGGTAACTTGTAGGAGGCGGGGGATGCACTGTTGAGAGTACCACAATTCCTTCTCTGAAAACCCCTGAACAATCCTTTACAAGAATGTTGTTTCAGATGACCATAGATCTCAGAAACAGAATCATTCTCCAACTGTTACCAATGTTCCTTAATTTGCTGGAGACATGGAAAAGGACTTTCAGAGAAAGAGAAGTGGCTCCAAAAGACTGGATGAAAGCAAAGCCAGAGAGGAAATAGAGAGTTTAAAAACAGAGGGCAGAGAAACAAAAAGCAAGATAAGAAGGTATGATGCCTTGAGAAAGTGCTGAAGTTAAGCAGACAGTTCACTTAAGACCATCTTAAAACTTAAGAAACCACTACAAAAACACAGAACCAAGGAAAAAAACCCTTGAAAATAAGAAAAATAAAAAAACCACACCCATTATGCCCAGATGCAAGGACTTTAAGGAAGTAAAGGAGATGAAGATCAGGTCTTGTGCCATACTACAATGACAAAAACAGTATCCAGTATCAGTAAGTATCAGTAAGGTTTTTTTCAAATTACTAACAAAATTTTTGGAATTCTTGTTTATTGCAGCCAGCTCTGGACTTACTAAAGGACAAAAATTTCCTAGCTGTTTAAACAGAATTTAGTAGCTTGACCACAAGAGCCAAGATTTAGAATAAGAGATAGAGTCAAAGAATTTGACTGAACACATTTTGACAAGCAAACATGGTAACCTGTAAATCGTGTTCTCCTGTGATGATACAATCATACTCTATGATGGAGACTAATAGACAGTAACCTAATTAGCTGGAGGTGGCAAAGGAAATTTCATGATAGCCCTGTTAAAATTACTGTCTGAATTGAAAGTACAATTAGGAAGTGATTAGATAATGTACATGCTGTTTCTGCCTGACCAAGTGGAAACAGCCTGAAGAGGAACATTATTTTCTCTTCAACTTCTAAGTCTGGAATGATCTCTGGGTCTCCTAGTCCTTGAAATAATGCCACAAAAAGTCAATTTAGGTCTAAATGATTTAGTTAAACGAAAGGAAATGAAATCTCTAAATGAAAGGATGATGTCCGTACCACTTGCACTTACAAAGTTTTCTTTTCTGAAAAGTGTTGCATGTGTTTTAGGAAAAAGATTCAGAAGACAAACAGTCTGACTTATATGAAAGTCTGTCATTGAACTAGGCAGATATCAGAATTAAAGACTGAGAGCAAAAATGTCCTTGTGAAAGACTAGAGATGGAAAATTTGCCCTTTATCCTTACCACCAGTCATCCCATCACACAGGGCTTAACAGCAGTATAAAGAGGTGAAAGACTACAGGTGACTCAAAAGCATGAACCCCCTACTGCACAGGTTAACTGGGTTTTCTATAAAATGACTAATCTTTCAAGTGTTGTATCACGAAGGTCATTACGGCAAAATGGATTTAAGCATTTTCCATTTTCCAGGAAAGAAATGCATTGCTTAGCAATGCACTAAGACTGCCTCTCTGCTAACATGTGCTCTATTATGCCTGGTTGCAGGTTGCTCCTAATACAGTCAATAATCCAGCCTGCATCAAGGTAACTGTTCTCTTGGATAGTGCTACTACATACAAGAAACAGAAATGCTCTTCCTACAGGGCAGCTGACCAAGACGTTGTAATTCAGGTGTAGAATGCTTAGAACAACATCAGAAATTTAGAACTACAATGCTCTGCAATGAAATTCCCAGAAAGGTCAAAGTGTATTTCAGAAACCAACTTTCATGTATCAAAGGAACTTTTCAAAAGACCTGTATACTCTCCATTCCATATTCAAACATCCGTTAATAATCCTTTTAAATACAATTCTGTTGCACACGTAGTTTAGTTCCAGACAGAAATTCAGTGCTGTGCATAATTTCTCTAAAAAGTATGTTCACTTTTTCTTATATAACACATGGATCTCCAACAATGCTTTGAAAACTTAAGCTTAACACGGCACATAACAGGAGATCACAAAAATGTTCATTGAATTCCAGCAGGTCCTCTTTGTTTCTGAGTATCAATCCATCCTAATAAAATCCATCCTAATAAAAATCTACTCCTATGAAATCTCTGCTTAGGAAGGTATGAATCTGTCAGCTTGAATTTAACTTCGGGTTATCGTTGCCCTCTTAACTTGCATCATAATGCATTTTTCAATACAAACTTTCCTTCACTGTGCACAACTCCTACTGAGGCAAATACATGCACCTGTGTATAACTACTTTTGTTCATCAGTTTTGTTTCACCAGGCTTCAACTTCATTTTGAATAAAATAATTATCCTATAAATATATTCAATTTTCCTTGCAGTACATTCCTGAGGAGAGTCTCCATTTTTTTCCACATTTGAAAACAAACTCCAGAAGCAAGTATCTCTGTCAAATATAGTTACTGTCAATCAGTTTACCTACTGCCTAATATTCTGCTGGAAGTGTGGCAATGGCAATATAAAAGACCGTAAAAAAATTTAAAAAGAAATCACCTACAAAAGCAACAAGATCACACACAGGAAACACATTTTATTGGGTCAGGCTTTGAAAATCTTGTTTGGGAAAGCTCTCTTACTCCCAGGCACATAGAAATGATAGCTACTAGAGAAAACATGGAGGTGTTTTTATTTATACAATTTCAAGACTATTCCTGCACATTTTTTTCAATTTATTCTATCGGTACCAGGTTAAAGATGCCTAGCCAGTATTTCAGCTAAGATAAATGGTATTAAATCAGTGTAAGACTAACATTTGAATTGCCATGCTTAAGATTCACACCATAAGCCTCTGGAAGAACTGGTGTAGCCATTAGCTTTGTGCTGCCACATTTCATTAATCCTTTCAACAAAAATTCCATATATAAATTTGAATTCATTACCTTGCTCACCACTCCAACTAAAAAATGCCCCCACAAAACATGGCAGAGGTACACTGAATCAATGCTATAGCAATGAATATTCAGCAGATAATTAGTGATTCACAAATTACTGTTAATAGCCAGTCCAGATGCTGTCTAATGTAACAAGCATTTTTCTAATAGCTCTGAAATCATGAGATTTTAAAGGTGCATTTGATACAGATAAAACACCTCATTATGTCTGATATAAACTGCTCTTTACAAGTAAGAAAAATGTCGTTTTCATAAAGAAACTCTGAAGGAAAAATTCAGAAGGACTATGTAGAAAATATTTTAATCATGTAATCTTCAAACTACTTTTATGTGACTTGCATATAAGTGTACAGTATGCTTGTTACAGGTTTTGAAAAACTCTACAGAATAAACTTCAATAAAGTCAGACCTTTTAATTATGCTTCAGTCAATACTGGGGTGAAACGTAAACATTAAGAGGACAGAGGAATTCCTTTGCTCCCTTAATGAGTTCCTGGACTCAAAACAGAAAAATTATGGCCTAATCCTTGAATAATTTCTAAAAAACTATTGGTTTGATTACAGAAAATACTGACTCTCCTTCTTGGCATGAAATTAACTCTGAAAAAATTATCAGCATATGACATGGAAATCCAGGCAGTCATAATAAGCATCCTAAACACTGCCTGTGAATAATGAAACTCAAATAATGCTCTTTCCAAAATTAATGCTTCCCTAATATTATATTCTGAAAAACTAACTATTCTGATAAATCTTGTGTTGGTCCAGTCTTGATCACACAAAGGAAGAGATTTACTTAATGCAAAGACTCCAACTAGAACCTTTCAAGTCTATGTTTTACAAAAGAAAGAAATTAAACTAGTATTACAATGAAAAACATGAGAAAAATCAAATAGACAATGATATCTTAAAACATTTTATGTAGTCCTCTATTAAAAGGGACATCATACACTCGTTACATAAACCATGTAATGGAAAAAGTTAATTTAAGGGAAACAGGAGAAGTTTGCATTGTACTTAAGAGATATCAGATTTTACTGAAGACTTTTGGTATGTCTGTAATCTCTGTCCAAATTATTCACTGACATTTTTGAACCACTTTCATACCATTCAGGATCTGCTTCTTGACATACAGTAATTAATAATATCAGATAACCACTCATATCCTGAGACTTCTGATTCAATGGAATCACCGATTTCCTCCAGAAACGTAAGTATTTCCACATAAAAGTCCTTGTAGAGAAAGCCTAGCTGCATCAACTCACCTGTAGGATGTGTGTTTTGTGATTTGAAGAGGCCCACAACACTTTTTCCATGAAAGCCCCCAGACCTTAGCAGAAGAGTGCTGTTTTTAGTGTTCTTCCAACAGACCACGGGCAGGCGGTTGTGTCGGTAACAGCGAGCCACTCTCTGCAGGCTGCTGTCCTGGACACACTGGGGGACCACCAGCAGCCCAGGGTAACTGCAGGGACAAGAAGGAGGGAAAAAAAATTGAACAACAATTAAAACTGCTCAACGATGAAAAAAAAAAAACCAAACACCAACACAAAATTACAAGCTGAAAATATATCTTAATGAAAAGACGCCTTACCTGTTGGAATGACTTTTATTTACTAAGTAATTTTTAGTTCAATCCCAGTAAATACCTCGATTTGTAAAGAAAACTGCATTTTAAATAGAACTTGAATTATGAACAAATTGCAAGACTATCACCATTAGTCACTTTCCATTTAAGGTTACATTTTATTTGGCAGTATTTTTCTTCTTAGTGTATCTCTTATCTGCCACTGTAATGAAGCCGTATTTTTAAGCATGACAGAAAACAGAATTTTGAGGCATGCACATGATGCAGTAGTTTTGTTTTGACACTTGTATATGAAATATGAGAATTGAAAGGAAAGAATGTTAGATTGCCTAAAGTATCACAATGAAAACAATAGTTTTTGGTTTATGGCAAAATACATTTAAATTTTACAGTCAGATTCCTTGGAACACTGCTTGAAACTGTTTGTGTACTTTTAAAAACACTACAATACAGGGAGAGATTAGGAAATTCACCGATGTAATACCTTTAAAGGTGGAAATCCCAGCAAGACTGTAGTTGTGTTCACGTTTGTGAAAGAAGGATTCAAGGAATATGAAATATTATTTTCTACCTCCTCAAAAAAAAAAATCAACTTAAGTGCCAATTTCATATGTTAAGAAGAAGCTGAGACACAGGGAATAGTTACTGCTTACTAAACAACTTCATTTCTCTATAATATACACTGTTCCTGTAAATTCAATTCTTTAACATTTGTTGAACTGCACTTGGACAAAATAAATGCACATGACATTTACAGTCAAACATCTTAAAATGCAGTAACCAAACTAATATAGCAGTAGATTAGTATTTATATCCTGAGATTTTTAATCTGCTCAGATATTAGCTACCTTTTAAAAAAGCACCCTGTAGAATATTAAAACCCAGTGGTTTTAGGGGAGGAAAGAGTTGTCTGCATAATGTTCAATGCATAATGAAAATGCATAGATTTAATGCGTTCATCTGCATTGTACTCAGTGGTGATTAAACAAAAACAGTACTTTAGATAAGTCATAAAACAAGAAAGGATCTAGTATTTTTCTTCTGCGTCCTTCTTCCATGAAGAATTGGTGATTCCATTGTCCATAATGAAAGCAATGACTAGTCAAAACTGGCTTTAGAGAATGCAAATGTCTTTTGATATGACTCATGCAGATATGCTTTTGTATTAAAAAGAATGTTTCTGGGCCATGGTAGTAAACTACATCAGCTTTCACAACAAAAAGAGGAGTTAGTGACATTCATGTGCTAAAACAGAGTACGTGACTTTCAGTCCATGACAAACTTTGAAAGTAGATACTTCCATGAATTTAATTTTAACACGTATTTTTTAATTTGAAGAAAATATTTATTTATAATTCTTTCTGAGGCTTGTTTTTTTATTTAGGAACAGAAGAGACTTTAAATGTAAATATATTTATGCAAATATACATATACGTGCCTCTACTTTCAATTCCTTAACTGTGTTGGTAAACTCACCTCCTGCAAAGTGAATACATCCTGTTCAGTGCAGTTATTCTTAAGAATTCTGTTTTTGAGCGAGAAGAGTTACTGCTGATGGTCCCCAGTCCCAAACGCTGGTAGTCTCTGAAACAGGCCTTTTCTACTAATTGCTCCATTGTTGATTTTTCTGATGCTTTCAGGGTCCCGCCTGTGTGCATTTCGCTGTCGTCTGAAACTAAAGGCAAAAATCTTTAGGAGTTTGCGACTGGGGAGGTCAGCAGGTACACAAAAAACAGTGCTACTTTCTTCTAAACAATATATTATTCTGTCTTTCAGTGACAAGTGGCAAGAACTAAGACACACAAACCACAGTTTATAAAATTCATAAACAATAAAATAGTATCTTAGGAAACCTGACTATATCGCACAGTTACCTCCAGCACTTGTGGCTGGCATGGCTGACATCTCTCTTGCTAAAATCTTGGGAAAAGTCATCTCACATATTCATTTGAACCAAAGACAGATAATATTTTTTTGCAAATTTACAAATTCTTTACGAATTCTTTACAAATTCATTACACATTCAAGATAAAAATGGACCACACAATTTTTAAACTATCTTCAAAAGAGGTATGATCTTTTAAAGGCTTGGTTCAACTTAAAAAATGTTTCAGTGTTCTAATTTCACAACAGATGACTGTTGGTTTCTTAATGTCTCTGTTTCAGTGTCAAACAGCAGCTTTCTTCAGCCGTGCACATCAGCTGCACTTCTCAAAGCAGAAAAACCTTCAACTATGAGAGATAAAAAACTGTGTCACAAGTTCAAACTACTCTGAAATTCAAGTCAAGCAAGGTCTTCGTATAAAACCTGCCACCTGCCTGTTAGTGACACTTCTCAGCTATTTCCAAATGCTTCTGAAAGCAGATTCACTGCTCACAGCACGTATCAGTTACTTGCTACCACCTCAAGCATTGAAATATGTGCATATGAGAAGTATTTCTTCAAGAATGATGCCCTGGAAAGTACATAAGGATTTAAATTTAAAACAATACTTTATAACACTGGAAATTAAAATTATTTAAAAAAATAAAATTATGATATAATTAAAATTTTACTGGTAGTAGACAACATTCAGAATTCACAGTAGTACCTATACGATTTTTTTTTTCTGTGCATCTTAGCATAAAAGCTGAATGAGTCATGTTTTTTGCCCTTTCAGCTCATCAAACAAAATCAAAAATTCTCTATTTGATCTGAATAACAGAGTTTAATACTGTGGATATCTCCTCTTTTTCCTGTGTTTTCATATTTGTCATGGTAAGAAAGAAGTTACACAACATTTAAAGTATAAAGTGTACTAATGAGAAACAAATCAGTTTTAGAAATAATTTTATTTTTTGTCATACAGAAACGTGGTATTTAACAGATTTCAATGGAAAACCATAACTGACTCAGGTAAGATGAGGTTGCATTTTTTAAAATACTTTTTTCTAAATGTACTTTTCTCTCATGAAAGGAGGTATACTGGTGATCAGCATTTGCAAAATGCTGTGCATAAAAAGCTAGAGATAAGAGCTCATATCAATGTTCTTAACCTGGAGAGACAACACAATATGTTCAACTCGATTTATTTGATTTTGAAAAGATGAGGCATAAAACCTCTATTTTACTGTTCTTGAGATGTGACTATTTGCAAAAGCAGTTTTTGCAGTCTCTTGTTTTATTGAACACACCAGTATGATCACCTATAGGAAACAGAATTTATTAGTGATTTAGAGATTATAAACTCTGAAAATAAAATGATGAGGAGGAATTGGAGGGAAGTGAGGTGTTCACTGGCAACAAATAATAACTACAGTGTCCAGTTTTGGAAATCACATTGTAAGTTACATGTGGACTAGTTTAAGAAGTCTGAGAAAAGAGCAATGAAGATGATCATAAGCCTATCAAGACAAATAAACAAAGAACTGAAAAAAAGTACTGTGGATATTTAATATCCAGAAAAGAACAGAGAAACATTATAATAGGCTATAAATACATTAAACTGCAATCAGAATGAAGGAATTCATCTCTTCTATATGTATACAGAGGCAGAGTAAGAAACGAAGGCATCAAGTTGCAGCAAGATGATGTTTAGTCCTGAATATCAGAAAGTTGCTTGTTTTTCTCCAGCATTAAGGATGGTTGTATGATCTGCCTAGAGTTGTGAAACCTTCGTCTTTGAAAGCTTCTAAGAAAAAGTTAGGTAAACACCTACAAGGAACAGTTGATGTATGTTGATCTTGCCCTGGGGCAGAGAGATGGACTAGTTGACCTCTTGAAGTTCCTTCCAACCTCATCTTTAACATTTCTTTTTTAAGACAATGCATCACCTGCTGCAGATAGTTCCTGTTTGACTCATTGTTGGTAAAGCTGCATAGTTTCCCATACTTCAGTTTTTGAGACTTGCAAACAAGTCAAAAACAAAGTCAAAAATACAGCAGTCAAAATAAAAGAAATTGCAGTGATTACTTCCTATGGCTATTTGTACTCTGAGGCAAAGAGCCACCACTGTTCTCAGCTGACTATACCTGATGTGCTAGTGCTGCATGGAGAGAAAAGCAAACTGTTAGCCCTTGGTCACCTTACACATTCCCAGCCAAAACATCTGTAGAACAGCAGGCCTGGAGACTCACCATAACTTATATTTTATATTTTTGTTAGGGGAGGAAAAAAGTGACTATTCACTAATGTTTATATAACACCTGGGTTCATGGAAGAACACAGTTGTTTTGAGTATCAGCAATGCAAAACCTTAAAATTTCTTCATCATCAAGGGCAGTATGTCTACACAGGTATGACTGTGCTTTGTGTCTCTGGGTGAAGGACACAAAATCACCCCCAAATCACCCAAGTACAGCCTGCAGAATTGCTTCTGATCCAAAGAATCTGCAACATCAGAATACGTGCTAACTCAGCCCTTAAGGAAAATGCTGGAAATTCAATTAAGAAAGTAATTTTTCAGCACTGTAAAGACATTCTGTATTTTCTAAATCTTATTTTTTGCCTTTTTCTCACCACTTTATCTGGAATGAAAGAAGAGAATCAATATTTGTCAGCTCAACTGCAATGGCTTTCTTCCATTTTGAGAGATCAGAGACAGTGCTTTAGTCCTGCTTTGGACAACTTTCACACATCTGCTCATAAGTCACATAAGTTGCCTTGCTCAATGACCAAATATTCAAAAAGAAAATTTGGCTTGTTTGATGTTTTGAAGAAATTATCAGTGTTTGATAAACACTTAATTATCTGAGATGCTTATGTTTTTTAAAAAAGAAAGAATGGTATGACAAAACACCACCTGTTTATGTACAGGAGAATCTGGTTCCCTCTAGTGGTTTATTATAAATTAGCAGTGGTCCATCCAGATAAGGATATATTGACAGCAGCACACGGAAAGAATAGAACATTTTTGGAGAAAGACAAACTCCACACCATCACACAAACAGGACAAAGTGCCCAAATCCCCTTCTACCTCTGCCCCAAATCCTTCCACCCAAAATTTTGGAAAGTGGTATATTCAGTAGTAATGACTTCTGCTGCTTTCAGAAATCATTTGTCAGTTCCACATCCACAAAAGCCTCCAATAATGTTTGCTCATTCTTGCATCTCACCAGTTACTGCCTTCTCATTGTAGACTAATTGCAGATGCTTAAAGATAAATGGAGGCTACAGCATGCTTCTGTGCTGTTTCATCTATGCTAGTATGATGTAAAAAAATGATCTAAAAGATACTATATTTAAATAGTTTGATAATAAAAAATAATCTCATACTTCACCATACCACTGAATTAAGTCAACTTCCTCTTCTGCCTCATCATGGCAAAAGAAAACACTCACTAAATGTACAGATTTGAAACCCTTCCCTTTCCTGTCTAGGAAGACTCTTCGATTTCATTTTGAAAACATTTCTTATTCAGCAGACCGGAAAGGAGGCATAATAGGATAGACTTATTAACCAACATGGAAAAAATATTTTACTATTACCAGAGATATCATCATCTTCATTCCAGCCCGGGCGATTCCCTCTTTCTTCCACGATTGTGCCTGTCTTCTTCTTTAATAAATACTGGCGTCCAATTGTCATCTTCCCGGCACGCTTTGCTCCTTTCACAATGCTTTTTGAGAAGGTACTACAAATTCAAAGCAAGAAGAATATTTAGAAAGATGCATATGATTCTCCCTAATAGCACTTACAGATTTCTATGATGAACACAAATAAAATGTTTTTGATACTTTTTCACTTAATACGAAGTCAGTAATTATAAACTTTAGAAAAATTACTTCCTATATTAATTTTTAAACACAAATTTTATTACTTTGAGATAAATTTGTGTCTATAATGTCTAATGGCAATGAATAAGCAGATATCATCTTTCTTTAGATATTTTTATTTTGCAAGCAATGTGATAAATCTAGAAAGTTGACAAAGTAAAGGCAGGAAGGACAGAAATTACCTTTAACTTTTAGGACTTCATGACTACCTTGGGATTCTACTTTTCTGTGTCAACAATGCAATAATCAACAGAGAATCACAGGAGCTATCACTCTGGAATAGACTAATGATGCTGCTGGTCCAGTAAAATTAATGTATAATTTAAAACTTAAAAGTAGACCTAAAGCTCAAACTCTAAATTAAAAACCACTAGAGCAAATGCACAGGGTAAAATTAATTCTAATCCAGATTAGGTTGTTAACCTATAATACACTATGAATCTTGTTTCCATGTTGGCACAGGTTGCACAGCTCAAGATGCTACTTATATTTTCAAATATACTTATATTTTCAAATATACTTATATTTTCAAAATACTTATATTTTCAAAATATAAGTATGTTTCAAAATGTAATAAGGTGCCTGTCCAAACCTACTGCATCAAGAAATTTAGATAAATAATATAATTTCCATATCAAGTAAACATCTGTATCATACTAATCTACATCTTGTTCAGGAAATATAAAGAGATGCAGAATAGCAATCACTTATTCTGACATTTCTGAAAAGTGATCTACATTTGTGCAAAGCCCTCAGACAGTTCAATGTGTTTGACTAATACGAAACAAGAACATCAGCAATAAAAGAAGAAGAAAGTCTATACCGGAATGAAGTGTTCTTTTCTTTCTGTTTTGGTAAAATTATCTGTGGTGCTGTTTGCCCAGCTGCGAATGCAAAAGTGCTGAAGATGGACTGGGGGTAACGGAACTTCATTAACTGTTTCTTAAATATTTCCACCACTTCGGGACTTACTTCTTCATCAAATGCTACTTTAATTAACTGCATATTAAAGACATGACATGTTAGAAACTGAAAAAAAAAAATAAATTACAGAATTACGGAAATTAAAAGATTCTAAAATTCATTAGCAAAATTTTCATACTTATGCAGTATTATGCCTATCAGAAAATACAAATATATTTACATACATCTTATTTATTTTGAGGGATATGACAAATTTTAATAATTTTTTATTTACATTTTAAATTTATGCCCTAATACTAAGGTATTTTCACTAAGAAGCATCTGGAATTCTCATAATATCAAACACAAAATATTTTGGTAAATCCACGTAGTAGTGCTGGCACTAAGATGTCTGCAACAGTTCAAATACTGGTCACATGGGACAGCTTAGCTTGGAAATATTCTCCCAGCTCTGCCCCTATACTGGGAACTAAGGTTGGTAACGCACTTCAAAGACTCTCACCAAGGCAATGATTTCAGCATTCATATGTCATAACCATTGTATTTCTATTACTTTGATAGTCCAAGTTTTGCCTCACCTTGCAAACTATAGAAAACTGCTCATAACAAAATTGTGATCATGAAATCTGGTCCTTAAAAAGGAAATAGCCTTGTGCTATTCAATGCTGATCCCTCCACTTGACTAAAAATGCTTTTTTGAAAAGTTTGGGGAGAAAAGGAAATCCCATCCAATCATCCTCATCCAAAAGGAAGACAGTCAACAATTCAGGGAAAAAGAAAAAGAGACAGAAAGTACAGAATCCATAAAAAGGCCCAAAAGAACTTCAAGAATGTGGAAAAAGCAAACAAAGAAATATCCTAGAGCTTTACTTTCGAGCGCATACCTAGACCCCTTTTGAATGTCTTTTGCTTGCCATCTAGAAGGTGGATTTCATCCTTGCTTTTCTAATTCTACTTGTTTTGTAAATACTTTCCAAATGACTAATAACTTTGTTGTTCTAGGACCTCCTTGAAAGGAGCTCTTCACTCTTTCGGAGTAATGCTGATCTGAAGTTTTAAAGAGATTAAATAGCATAACTGTGCACAAAACCATCTGAAAAATCATTAGTAATAAACAAAGAGGAGGGGCTATTTCATACTGCACTGAACTCTGGCTGTTACATAGGGAACGGAGAGTAAACTGTTTGCTGATTGTTTTTGTTCTCCTAACCTAATACAAAACTATGCTAAACAAAAGCAAAGATGATGTTTGACCTGAATCCAGCAATAAAAACACTGTGTCTGTATTTATCACATCGTTGAAGCATGCTAACTATTCTGGTAAAAAGATTCCTGGAAAATAAGAGTCCTCTCACAAGTCCGCAAGAACAACCCTTTTTTGCTTATTTTACTCACTTTTATTCCTAATCTTATGCTCTTGAAGAGGATATTGAAGGATGATTAGCTAAATAATGTCGGTTACTGTAAGGAATTAGTAAAACGCTGATGATCTAGGTTAACGTTTTCAAATGTTAAGAGTTATTGTTCTCAATGAAAATATACTTCTGCAGTCAGTCAATCCAACAAAGTATTTCATATCTTAAGTACTTCATTCTACTTTCAGTCCATGATATAAAATTCTTTGCTTTCAACTTTCAATCTCTTATGGTTTGACCACAGCTAATATCATTATCAAAGGGAAGAATTCAGGGAAGACTTTAGGATTCCTAATTCTTAGAAGTCCATCTCTGTCAATTGCCCTGCAGTACATGCTTCTGTTGAATGCACCAAGGGGGATCCTACAGATGGAAAAATTCCAGGATCTGTGCCAGTCATGTAGAGACTCACTGGTTCTGGCCAGTGGTGGCTACTCTAAAGATTCCTGGACGTGCAGCTTCCATGTGCAATATACCATGACTTTCTGTCATGGATTTTAACAGAAAGCTGGTAAAGTGTCAAGTGTCAATAAGAAAGCAATATTTATAGCTTTTCCATATTCATTCCATGTAGCTGGAGGAGAGAGAAAGCATGTTTCCATTGGTCTGCCTAGGCCTCTACTTACATGAAGATATTTTGGATCCAAAGCAGCCCCTTACTGGATCCAAAACAGACAGGTGAGGAAAGCAGTGAAAGAAATCCAACATGAAAATGGTAACCCTCTGTAAATATCAACTGGGTCAAGAAAGGCCAGGGTTTCTATGAGGACTGCATTCTCTGTCGACTTTGCAGGGCAGAAAGCTGGACTCTTCACAAACAGCAGGACAAAGAGCTGCTCGTAAGTGTATTGAGCTGACTGTGCAGTCACACAAATTTTTGAAAAACTTCCTTTTACCTGAAAGGTAGCTGAACTGATCTGCAGTCCTTCCTGCATACTCTGCTGCAGCTGGTTCTGGATACTGATCTTCTTCTCCTTCGTAACAGATGCAATAGGAAAGCTCCGGATCACTGTCTGCTCTCCAACTGAGGACCACAACACACAGACACTTGTTAGATCACAGAGTCAGATCTGCTTCAGTCACACTGTCATTTGAATAGATAGGAATGAGTAAGTACAAAGCAACATGAACGTAATGGGCGAGAATAAATTTCAGGCAAAATACCTGAAAAGGTGGTTAATTTCTAAAGCATTATTTGTAATGTGAATTTCTGCTTAATTTCAGCTGGGATAATTAGAAAAAATAGACTCCTTCCTTCTTAGTCTTTCTACATGATGGAAGTGCACCCCAAAAACTGGGTTGGTAGGGGGTAAAGAAACAATTTCAAGCTTATTCAAATTTCATATTGTATCATCCAACTTATGAACAAGAAATCGTATACATTGATTTCTTTACATACGATCACAAACTTTCCCCAACAAATTTATACTTTTGAATGGCAATCTGCTTAGAAATGGCAGATGTCAAAACATGAAAATTTATCATTTAGAAGAGCTATTTCCATTACAAATTAAAAAAATACTGCATTTACAAGCAATAATTTTAGGTAGACTACTAACACAGGAATATTTTTTCTTTAACTTGCTTCCAATGTCTGAAAAAAAAATTTTATGGAAACCTAAGAGTAGTGGAAGCTGCAGATCTCACATGGATTTTATGTTCTCTCTTAGTGGTGAAGAAGGTTACAAACACTGCTGTGCAAAGCAGCAATATTAAACCAAACTTACAGGTGAAACAGAGATATAAAGATACCAAGCATTTTGTCCATTCTAAAGTCTATGAAAATTACTAAAGTATGATCAGGAATGTTCCTGTTTTCTGTCTCCAATTTTAGGTAGTCCATAAAAGCCCATGGTGCCATGTGACAGCTACTGAAGTTTCCTTTAAGACATGTATATATGATTTCATATTACATAAATGACTGAAGACAGAACCCTAAATATCTACCAATACACAGGAATAAACAAACCTTTAGCATCTGAAGAAGTAAGCTGCAGTTAAGTGCAAAATCAAAATCAATCATATTCAGTGATAAAAGCCTGTATTAAGAGATTATTTTTATGTAACAAACATGAAAAATTATACTGTGAGGTATGTGCATTTTCATGTTGATACTTGAATACGTGGACAGGTCAGCTCAAAATCCTGCCTATCCTGAAGGATCACAATTATAACTGTTTGGATTTTCTTACCCAGCTGATCATGAGGAGTGCCTTTAAATATAATTCTGTAAGTGGTAAGGAACAAAGCTCCTTCAGCAGGGAGGATATGAGGACCTCCAAGCAGTCCTCCTGTTGCTTCCTCTCTGCCATCAGGATCCAGCAGCACACGGAGACCTTCACAAACAAATTCCTCTCCTGGCAGTAAAGTTGGTCGTAGAATTTTGGGCTGATGAAAATAAATGAAATGTGTAAGTGTAATGGCAATATCAGTGTCATACCTCAGTCTAGTTACAATATTTGGTTTTAAAAGCTTCAAAACAAAATTATTATGAGACTGAGTCCAAAGAAGGGAGATGGAGTTTGGACTCAACTAAGAGAAATGGGTCTCAAAAAGCAGTGGGCATGCAATGGCTTGTTTATGATCAGAGGTTTGGCTCTAGTAGTTTCATATTTCATGAGACCAAAGCCAAGCACTTTATTTATCACTGCTGGAAATTTTCTTCTAATGTTTTGATGTTTCCTCCTAACATTATGAGAGGAAAAAAAGATTACTAAATTGCATGATTCTAATACTTGTAAGGAATACAAATATGTTTCATAATACTTGCCTTCTGTATTGGTGGAAGCCGCCTACTCTCACGATGGACAGCCTCCAGAGTCTCTATGTGCATTGCTACAATGCCTGGAAAGCAGTAATACCATAAGTGAAGTCTCACACAATGTGAAAAAGAAAGCTGTAATCTAATTAAAACTCTTGATACTCTGAAATTTTTAAATTTAAACATCAAGGGAATGATTATCTAAAATTCAACAGCAATTACAGCCTGGAAAAGAAATCTAACCTTCTGATACAACTGAAAGTAATTGAAACTAAAATGTGCATTTGTCTCACTAGGAAAAAAAAAAAGAGTACAAACCACCTTTTTGTCACAATTCCTACCTGGTATCATGCAATGCAGCCCCTTGATGTGATCCTGGGTAACTCCACTTTCTGTGCAGACCTTGTCAATAAATCTGGTGATGAAGCGCACAACTGCATTGGCAACGTCGTTGTTCTCCGAGTCCTCAAATCCACTCTCAGTGTCATAACTCTCTGCAACACTGCCTGCAATACTACAGGCATAAATAAAAGCAATGTCAAGTGTGAAAAATTCAGCTGTTCATGCACATATGATACCTGGTTAGACAAAGACAAGCTGTGGGGTTTTTCCTCTAGTTACAATTCACAAACCTTGCTAAAAGCGTATGGTGGTACCACAGGTACATTGTACCTGCATTAACACTGTCAAAACTTCATGGATGATGACAGAGGAGCTTTCTCTTCATGAGCCCAGTGCAGAGAGGCCCACAAGAGAAAACAGCTTTTTTGAAGTGAGCTCTATGTCTTCTCTTCATAAAGTCAAGTACAGTATTTACAACCCATGGTAAACAAATATTCAGTTAGATAGAGAAATATACATTAAATGCATATTTTGGTTGCAGAGCAAAGGAATCAAAATCTAAAAAGACCTAAGAAAAGTTTTTTTGTGCATCAGATAAGCGAGCAAGTCAGTGGTAGATGTACTTTGAACACCTAAAAATGCCTCCCATAATATTAAGGGCCAGATTCATAGATTGCAACATACACCACAACCACATACAACTCACAGGCATACTGAGCATGCTTGAGATTAGAGGTGTTTAGTCAGAAGAAATCGGTAACAGCATGGGAAGTTTAGTCCTGATAGCCTTTTACTTGATATCAGGGTTTTCACATGGTGTTCTATGATTTTATCAGGTGGGAATTTTGTACAGATTAGTGATAATAAGACAACAAACAGAGAGGGAGGAAGGTTTGTTATGAAATGTTCTGGATTTGCACGCTAGGAAACATAACTGATGTTATACTCCTCCTGCTTCCTTAGTAATTTAACCTTTGCCATTGTGGTTTAGCCCTCTTGCTTTTTGGGGCCTCAATGCCTTTCCTCCTTGCAGCTGTTGCACAGAAATTGTGATTTTATGGATCATATACAAATGGTTTCTTGATTTTAGGTTCATACACAGGGGTTTTTTTCAAGTTACATAAAAACTAACAGAGTGGTTTTCAGGCTGCTGTTTTCTTTCTCACCATACCCTGTGTTTGTCTTCAACAGCCATACAACTTTTATGTTCCTTTAAATGGTGGTAAATTACTCTAGATTAAGTTCTGTTATTCAAGAGGAATGATATCGGACTTCTGCTCTCCTTAACTAATGAACTTGAAAAGAAGTGAAGGAACTGAAACAATCTGGTATTTAGAATAAGCCCTAAAAGGTAAGACCACTTTGCAAACCGTGCAAAACCCGACTGATGAGCACTGACCTCGCAGACCCACCTGTTTGTGACAATGCTGTTGCTTCCGCTCTCCCAGTCACCAGTGGCTGAAGTTCTCAGCAGCTTGTTCTTACTCGTGTCCAGTGGTACCAGCAGATAGACCATGAGATTGGCAAAATGAATTGCCTGACTGAAAACTGTGCTTTCCTCATTCTGGACTAGCTCCTGCTGTGTCTGTTTATTAAGAGTCGGCCACAATCGCAGCTGCTCAGCAGCCAGGTCCATTGCTGTCTTATCCTGGTCTGGGCTTGCAGAATTCTTCTCCTAGAACGCATACAGAAAGAAATATAAAGACACAGAAGAAATAATAAAGCTGTAACTTAAAGAACATTGGTTAGTCAAAACTTCATTTAATTAATTTCTTAATAAAACTCTTCAGTTATTTAAATGACATAGTCATTTAAAAAGAAAAAGCAAATAACTACACTCAGTAGGGTCTAAGGAGAGTTATGATTATGGGAAATGAGCTTTGAAAGTGGTTTACTGAATTACACAAGTAGCACAATGTAGACAGATCTAAATAACATAATTTCTTTTGAGATCTTTTCTATGTCATACAATGTTCCTTGTTTCTTCAGAGTGGTTTACTGACTTTAATATAGCTCCCCTTCTGAGCTTATCCACTTAGCTCACATATGAACAAGCATAAGTCAGATTGAGAAACAACATGCAGCTCATTGCCTGATTCAGGAGATATTCTCCAAATTCCTAGGATGCTCAGGTGAGAGAAGCTTGTCTATAAATAGTTTCCAGGCCAGCTGAAACATTCATGTTTTAATATGTTGGAGTCCAATTCTAGCATTAGCTTGAAGCAAACTAGGTAGATGGCACACAATCAAACTACAATAAAGGAATCTGGCAGCCGATATTAGTGACCTAATGCCTGATGTTAAATTAATTAAAGACTAGATACCTTGCAAATGCTTTTTCCATACTAAGTTGAGCTAATTTTCCATATAAACATATGTGAGGGTTTAAAGGAGATGCTTCCCCGTAAGTGCTACTGTTCTTCACATCTTTCTTTACATAGTGACAGATTGGAGGAGGTTCCCTGTACACAAACCCATGGTCCTTTTCTCTTTATCCCTGAAATGTCTTTGCAGTTCTTCATTCTGACTAGGTTTCTGGGAACAGCTCTGTCTGTTTTCCTTCCTCTCTTTACAACACTGTATACTGCGGGTAGCATAGACTTTTCAGTCACATAGTTGATACTGATATTTTCATAAAAGAAGAGAGATTACAAGTGGCTCTTTTCTATGTATATGTGCTCCTTAAAAAAACCCATAATCTAATCTTAGCATGCTGCAAGGCATCCCATTATACTACTTTCAGAAAAAATATACACATTAGAGCGTGGAAAATTCTACAAAAGGTCCTTGTTTGAAAAATCGTAAATGCAACATCAGATTATAATGCTTTGCAAATAAATGTACATTTTTATTATTTCTCGTGTTATTGTATGCTGTGTAATACAGGGGAAATGAAAGAAAAATACACAGAATAACTTCGCTCTCTGTAACTCAGGAGACAATTAAAATGTGAATAAAAATACTACTTTAACATTTACTTTAATGTATTTTCCTACCTTTTGTTTTAACTGTACTGCATGGTTGTCATCTTTGGCTGTAAGGTAAAGGGCACGAACTTGATTTTGCACGTTGCTGTAAAAGGTTGTTTCCCAAAACTGTTGGTTAGTCCAGATAGGATGATCTTGTACACAGGTGTAAGCAAACTGACTAACGCCAGGTGCTAATTTCTGAAAGTAAAAAATGTGTAAAGTTAACAAATAAGTCCTATTTTTTAATTTCTTTCAAAGGCTATGACTTGAGTATTGAAATATAAATACATATTTTTTTATATATATACACACATATACATAAAATTAGTTGTATAGACTGAAATATGCCACTGAGTTCTTCCAAAAAACCTCATTTGTTGCAACAGCAGAAGATTAGATAAATTGTTATCTTCAGTGTTATTTACTGTACTCTGTGACCCAAATCCAGCTTCTGAAAGTGTGCTAAATTGGGTATGTTCTTTGAAGTCACAAGGGTCTGGATCACTGTAAGGTCTCAAACAAACCCAGGATTGTTACAGCATTAGTCATTATGAATGAACCATTTTTTTCAAGTAGATCTATTTATTTAGGTTGCACTAGTCTCCCAGTGAGTTGTTTAATATTCTTGATAACAACATACAATGAAAGGAAATTTATTTCAGTGATCTGAATCATGAAGAATGAAATCCTTTATCATATATTCTTACTTTTTGAAAAGAAGGTGGCCACAAAAAAAAAATCTGTGTTGTATACTGCGTGTAGCAAAGGGGGAGGTAATCTAAATACCTGCTTTGATTATTTCTGCAGCAGAACTGAAGAATAAAGTATATTACTGAGTGCTCCATTTAATGAATTTCACTCACAATACTACCCATACCTGAAATACACACTGTATCTAGAACTTAAATTTCATTTTGGTGATTATGTTGTAAACCACTTTCCTGGAGAGCATGACTACTACTCAATTTAATATTTGTAATGGTACAACTGTTCACAACAGCCAGTACACATAAAACTCTCTTAGCAGGCACTTGGGCATCCAAATGGAAGGCTAGGAAATTACAACTGAAAATTTTAGAGTCTGGTTTACAGATTTCTGGTTTTGCAAGTCTTCAAACCGTGTTTTCCACACTATGCTGTTCCAAGTACATCACGAACTAAAAGTCCTGATCATGTGCCATGTATTCATTCCTTATCAAAGGACCTTATTCCAAGGTCCTTTCAAATTATATGTTGAGAAAATGCTATGTGACATGCTAATAAAATTTACCCAATCAAAATACCTCCTTGTGATTGACCATCAAAAAGTGAGCAAAAATTTGTTTATTTAATCATGCAGAATATCATCAAAATTTTTTGGTAAACTGTTACAAAATCTAAACATGTAGAAGATTCAAATTATACTAAATGTGATTTTGTTTATTCAACACAGATTGAAAGAGAAGATAGATGGTTTGTTTAACAGATGTCCAAGTTTCAGTTGTGGTGATGTTTTATGGCAGCTCACAGGAAACAATAACTGATCACACATTAACAGCTCCCACACCTGATCCAGCTGTTAAATCACAGAACAGGTCTGCACAAACATTACAGATCTTTGTAGTGACTGCTAAACATCCCTTAAAAAAACCTAAGGCATACAAAATATACACTAACTCTTTCGTATTTTTATATATAAAAATATATAAATATTATACAATTATCTTACTATATATAAGATATATCATTTTATATATATAAAATACACTATGTCAAGCCTATTAATTAGCAGCACAACTAACTGTACATGAAAATGAGTCTTCTAATACTAAAAAAAAATGAGAAAATGTTACAAAATATAAAGGAGGACTACCTCTTTCCTCCTCTAAAGCCACCTCCTTTACAGCAATCTTACTTCTGTAAGAGCAGGACACGTGCATCTTTCACTGTTGGAAGATGTGTATAATGGTAGCTCAAAATGGTCTCATTTATTCAGCTATGCTAATTACCACAGGCCCCACAGAAGGGATTTGGCCCAATCATTCACCTAATTAAAAATCCAGAAGCACAAAACCCTGTGTTACAGAGGAATGGAGATGATGGGTAAATCGTGGAATATAAATATGGACAACATATCTTGAAAGCCATATCATGACTTTTACTTTGATTTATTCTTTGTTTTTTTTCACCAGCAGTAATTCCCAGTCACAATAGATCTGCAAAAAGGGAATACGATGTGTCAGGAAAAGGGGAAAGGAAAAAAAGGGGAAAAGGGAAGAAAAGGGGGAAATGAAAAAGGAGAAGGGAGAAAGAAAGGGGAAAGGAAAAGGAAAACACCTGTTCAAGCCCAGCTAGCTGGTAGTTAGCTCATGCCAATCTGTGTAGTAAATGCCACACAAAGGAGTGAATTGACTATCAACCTCTCCTGTTGCCTTCGATGTCTTGGCAAATCAGGCAATTGTGTAAACTAGGTGAAGAGGGGGTGATCTTTGACACAAACCCAAAAGAAAGTTCAAGCTCATAACTCTGGGTCCACAGCAACAGTGTTGCAGATATAAAAATGAAATAAATGATTTTCACACAGGGACAAACATGACAGGAAAGCTGAGGAGCTTTTAGATACTCTTCCTGTGCTCATAATTTAAAACCATGAACAGCCATTTCAATAGATAATTTTTAAACAATGGAGATTTACGTTCAAATGTAACAACATAAATCAACACTGACAATAAGTCCTAGACAAACTAAACCCACTTTGTTTATGGAAGGATGAAAAAAACCACATCAAAAAGCTCAGCGATCATAAATGTTATCCTTCTCATCACCTGCATGTGTTGAAACAAATGGCAAAACCTGATACTGGCCAGAGCACAGAATCAAAATCAGGACTTTTAGTTCCTGGCTCTGCCAGTTATTTTGGGCAAAATCACTTTGGATTCTCAGTTTGTTTCAGTCAGTTTGTCTGCAAAAGAGGAATACGAATACCAGCCTCAAGAAGCACACTGTTGTTCCATGGACTAAAAATACTCTTGGTACAAATATAAGCATTCCATAAAGCTTGCAATGTCTATATTCTCTACTCTGGGAGTGCTTAGTCAGCCCACTTGACTAGAATAGAAGCTAATCTAACACATCAAAAGGACCTCAATGTTTACTGTTGTATTCAAAACAATTTGCTCAGAATTTCTCCAATTGAATTAAAACAGTAATTCGGTGTTTTCCATCAAGCAATACTACACATACAAAACATATATTCACCCAGCTTTCCATAGGACAGCTAAACTACACTGGTATTTATGCTCTTCCTCTCCGTCCTGATAATTCAGTTCTGCCAGACAGAATGAACGTAGGAGGCAGCAAAAGAATTTCCTACTTGTAAGGGAGGATTTAGGGACTGACAGCTTAAAAAAGACCCCAGAAGAAAATTATAAAAATAGTTCTGAACTGCTGAAGTCCTTGTTCTGACAGTTTAAAAGAGCATTAAGGTGTAAACTGTAATAAACAAAAGGAAATTGGTTAACTTCTGCAAAGGACATTGAATACTTCCAATGGACTAACAGAACTTAAAAAACTCCAAACAGCTCCCTCACAAATTATGTATGAAACAGATGTTACCCGTATCAAAAGAATGAATTACATTCTACAGTTTGTGAAACACAATGTAGATTTGGGACTTGCTACATGTGGCTATAATACAGGCAACTTCTTGAATTCAGGAATTATCTTTTCATTATTTCCACCTTACTGAGGGGTACTGGATAACACCCGCCTAGAATTTTTTCCCTGCTTCCCTACATTGGATCCTTCTGATTCTGACAATGATACTCCTGGCTCAGTAAAAAATGTGCACCAACTCTTAAGACTCCCAAACTTACTGTGAGGTGCAGGCCCTCAAAGAGCTTCTCTATGACATTATATTATCTAGATTGCTTGTTTCTGACAAAGTATGTGTTGTGCTGATCACTTATCAGTTACCATCCTTTACACCATAGAAGCTTAAAGAAGAAAGCAAGTTTGTTCTAGTAAAACAAAGGATGCAGTTATTGACTGTGAAGTTGGAAAAAGATTTTCAAAACAAAAAGAATAAAACCTAGAATATAAATATACGTGAGACTGCTCTTTTATCACACAATTTTGCTGCATGCCTCTCAGCTATGGAAATGAAGAGGCAAACTCAACAGGACTCTTTTCTAGAGAAATCCCATTTATTTCAGAAATAAAGTAGATTTCTGTCTCCATCTTACAGCCCAAGTTATTGGTTTGGGTGTATTTGGTGAGAAAAGGAAGGAAAAGAAGCGAGGAGGAGGTTGCTGCTGAATGCAAAAAATAGCTTCCTCCTCAGCTCCTTGAGGAATCACCGGCTGTGGGTTATCCCTTTGACCTCTGTGAGAAAGCTACTGCGACACCTTTGCATACCAAAGGAGATCACAGCACTTCCCCTCCTGTATTGGTTAAGGCTATCCCTGGAAGCCTGCAAGTGTAAGCTTATGGGTCATCCAGGACATAGTGCATTGCTAATTTAAAGGGTCACTCCCTATCCAGGAGCTGTTTTATACAGACATTCAGTCAAATACCACCTATTGCATATCATGAATTGGCACCACTTCCCATAGGCAACACGCTGCCCCTGCCCAAGACAGTCTAAATGAAGTTTTGCACATGAACATGTTCTATGAGCCAGTCCTGCATTCAGATCTATGTTGTGCCCACACAGACATCTGGTAAGTCCAAAAAGACTTCAAAGTTGTCCCACAGGATCAGCCTACATCTATTGACCTTATCTATATATTACTTGCAGACAACACTGCATCACACTGTACATATACCACAGAATCATAGAATGCTTTGGGTTGGAAGAGACCCTAAAGATCATCTAGTTCCAACCCTCTTGCCATGGACAGGGACACCTTCCACTAGACCAGGTTGCTCAGAGCCCCATCCAGCCTGGCCTTGAGCACTTCCAGGGATGGGGCATCCACAACTTCTCTGGGCAACCTCCTCCAGAGTCTCATCACTCCTACAACAAACAATTAATTCTTAATATCTATTCCAAAATCTATCCTCTTTCACTTTAAAGCCATTACATGCACATACTCAAACAAGTGTAAGTGTATATGTTTCCAAGTCTGACTGTGTGCTGCATAGATAACATCTGCCAAAAAATGCAACTCAACGAATGGTTTTCCCATTTGGTGTAAAGTATAAAATTATACCTGCAT